AATTTTTATGTGGTCAATAAAGCTTTTTTTAGTTTCATATGACAGGGTCTGTTATTTGAATGTATTAAAATGTCAAAGTATTTAAGGGCTTACTTTATGTCGACTAGTTTATAAATGGAAGAAAAAAAAAAAGGTTCCAGGGTGTAAGGTTGTGAGGCACTTAGGCTTTGAGCGAAGCGCCAGACTCCTTAGGAAAGAGAACACAGGGTTCGAACCCTCGGTTTTGCGCTCAGGAGGCCGTAATTCTTTACCTGATTTTGTTTTTGCATGTATGGCTCAGATCGCAAGTGTTAGGCGTTCAGTCTCTCCATCACTGTAAACCTTTAGTAATAACGTTGAAGTGTGTGGGCCGCTCAATCTTCACCGCCACCCGATCGGTCTCCGCTTCGCCCACACTCTCGAGAATTCACACGATCAGGCCAAGTTGGTTAAGCATTTTACTTTAGCTCTCAGGCTGGCCCGGGCGTCCCCAATGTTCCGTAGCCGAATCGTCCGCGGTGGGGCTTTTGAAGCAGGCCCCGGTAGGTTCTGCCGCTCTGGTCTTTTCGTATGACTCGGCTTAGCTACAGTGTAGCTCGGCTGCACCGCTGTCGTCCGACGCCTTCGTTCTTCTGCCGCGCACCACGTTCTCGCGCCTCGTGCACCGCCTCTGTTGGTTTCGTGTATCTTTTTGAGACTTCGTTTTTCTTTTTTCCACAATTGTCATACACTTTCTATGTTGTAGATTACTTCTCGTTTCTTTCTCCTTCAGGTATTTATCAACATTAACACATGCCACGATCTTCAGTGACTCGGGACTTATATTTTGTTGACTAAATATTTTAGTTTGTTTCTCGCTGATGACGTCAGCCCTGCTTTCACTTCTGCTAGGGAGATCGGGATGAAAGCGTGGAATCCCCTTGTTCCGGGAAGGCCTTTCGCATGTTGGCAGCGGCTTGCGAGCTTCTCTCGTTCAGCGTTGATTTTGTCCTTAGATACCCATATGGGTTTTACACTGCAAAGGCTTCGCACTGCCCATTCGTACAAATCTCGGGGCGTGCAGATCTGGTCATCCAAGGGGCGTTGGAGGCTTGCTTTGGCAGCCAGTCTCTTTAAGGTTCCTCCTACCCCATCACATGGACCTTTTCCGTGTGATGTGGCAAAGAAATGCCACACTGCTTCAAGGCCGAAATCCTCATGGTGGAAGCAAAGATTGATGAAATTTTTCTTACTCTTGTACTGTGCAGCTGCACCATCTGTGAAGTAATGAATTTTCGTTAGTTCTTTCTGAGTGCATTGGAAAAGCTCAATCACCTTCCTTTGAAACAAGTGCACGGCTGCATTATCGTGTGTTAGGTCATCAGAAATTATTGTGAAGGTTTGGTGCTGAATTTCCTTTTCGCCTTGCGCCCGGTAATATACAACGACGGGGTGAATGGTCGCTTGCGTCTCACTCCAGTAGAAGGACTGGGGAGAGTCTTGCACAAGAAAGTTGTAATTTTCAGCAAAATCCATTAGAAAGATGGCTTCATTTTCGAGTATAGTGTCCTTCAACTTCCGTAAAAAACTCGACTGTTCTTTGGCAACGAAGTGATGCGGTTTCAGAGACAACAGCTGACTGGCGAGGTGGTCCACAAACTCTTCAGACGGAAGCTCCACCGTTTCAAGTGTAGCGCGGTTTCCGGAGATCCACCTTTTGAATTTTACGGTGCCGGCGGCTTGCAGTCTACGAAGGTTGTCACCCAATGAAGTTCTAAGTCCTTCCAGACCTGGACAGGAAAGGCATCTGCCAAACATGCAGTCTTCATTCTCTATACTGCATACAGCAGAACGTAGTAGCTCCTTGTAGTCGACGTTTACTCCTGCAGCGTGTAGCAGGAGCTTTATGTTCTGATGGTAGGAGCAGACGCAAACTGTGTGCGTGCCGGGTGCTCCTGCTAACACACACCACCGTGGTCGTAACGAGGCGAAACTGGAAAATCCGCACTGTGCGTCTGGGCATTGGCTTTTCCATTGAAGAAAAGCCTCCTTCAGATTAATTAGCATTAACCGTTTGTTTTCCGCAAATGACGTCTTTTTTTCCTGGCATGCAGTAGCTTACTGCGTCTTCCTCATAAAACTTTCTAATGGAGATCTTGATGCTCTCCAGAAGACGCGGTGCGTTTTTGGCGTCCGGTTGAGAAAGTACTCCGCCATTCTTTCGGAGCTTCCTAGCTTCGGGCACCATCCATTTTGTTGCACCAAAAAAATCGGCCACTTGCAACATACTCCATGACGCCGGTGCTAACGTCAAAATAGACATTTTTTTAGCCCTTGAGGTTTCATTCCTGAATTTTTGTTTCAACTCACAGAGAAGACCTAGGTAGTCGTCCGCGAGGGTCTCAGCGCAAGTTGTACTTGGGATACGAATGTTTAAGCTTCTGTGCAGCTTTGGAGAAAAAGTGTTTTGCATGCTTTTTAGCTTTTTCTTAGCGTAGCCTTGCCGTTGTTTGTAGGACCTCTTCAGGGTAACTTTGGCTTCCCCTACGGCAGACAACGAAGCATTCAAGGATTCAAAGATCGCATAGGGCTCAGGTGACGTTCCATCTGTAGAAAAGTTCCCCTCGTGTTCACTCAACTGACCTGGTGACAGCTGTGCACTTGCAGCCTGAATGTTCTTGATTTCGTCGTGCACACGTATGTTGCATTTTACGCAAAGGTAGTTTCCAACTATTAGCTTCAAGTAGTGAACTGCGGATGAAACTTTTGAGGTGATCACCTTCGTTCCGCAACAAAAGTTCTTGTGTAGACGAAACGGATCCGCACACCTCTTGGACCGTGGCATCTTGCTAAAATCAGGATAAGTTTTCTTTCACTTTACGGTGCTTCTGAATAATGCGTGTTTTCTTGCTCGCATTTCACTTTACACTGCTTCTGAAAGATGCGTTTCCTCGCTCACAATTGTATCAGACGTTCAAAAACTAATGTCGTCTGCTAAAAGTTTAGCTCGCCCTTTCGTAAACAAATTCCTCCGCCTGCAAGTCTTTGTTACTCGTGGCGTGCATCAATTTAAATAAAGTCTGGAAAAAATTTTCTTTATATTCTATTAGCTTTGGGACTGTTAAGACCAATTATGTCATTCTAAGGAATTTTCACAAGTTCAGTTTCGGTTTCGTTTCACTCATTGATGTGATTGCGGCATACCAGCTGGCGCTCCTATCGGATCCTCCGTCTGCTTTACTGAGCGCCCATTGAAAATGAACAGTGAGGGTTTTATTATTGTAACGCATCACTGTTAGTGTTCTAAAGATCAATAAAATAACTTGTAAAGGGTGCTCGCTACGATCCGTAGTATTATCGTCTTCACCACTTGAAATGCGTTCGCGCGTTTTTTGTTCTACCATGCAACTAGCCCGCTCAAAAGCGTCACGCCAGATTACGTCTTATTGTCCGAAAGAAAAAAATATTTCTTCAATTTGAAAAAAAAGTACCTTTCTAAATTTTTGATATTTGATTGTAGAAGCTTGGAGCTATATTTTGATATACATGTTTTGTTCGAGACTGAGGGGTAACATTCTTTTTTCTTACTCCAAAAATTGCCAATTTACAAAAACTGACGTAATTTATATATTTTTAAAATAAAAAGTAGTAGTTTCTAAGATGTAGTAAATTTTTAACAATTCAAAATAGAAGCTGTTGTTCAGAAAAAAAAGTTTCAAATCAGTGTCTAGGATTTAAGTTGATTTAATAATTCAATGAATATGGCATGATGTGTGTTAGCTTTCTTAGGCCTAAAACTATTTAAAAATATTTTATTTTATTATGATAATAAAATTACATAAGAAGCATTATATTGTAAGTCTTATTCCGATATCATAATAATTTTCTCGCATTTCGACTTAATTACACAAATGTTGAAATGTCCTACAGTAAAGACACTTTTCTCAAAGTTTAAAAAATGGCCGCCACAAAACAAACAAATATTTGGAAGAAATATTTTGTCCGAGAACTTATGGGGCAATTGACTACCACTGTGATTTTTTCGGTGAAGATCGGAGGAGGTCGAGCCACCTCGTCGTGCGGTTTGGCGTGGAATGACCCAGCTGTCAAAAAAACAATGCACCAATATGAACCCCAATGTGTTAAGTGCGCGCTCCCTATGCTCAAAACGAATTAAGTCAGGGTATGCGCGCGTGCTCGAGGATTCATTGTGCCAGCTCGCGCAGTAAAAAGAACTACCATAGCAACGTGCACACGCACATAGCTCTTCCCGAGGATTCGGGCGTGGCGTATGAGCTATTCTGAAATTCGGGTACTGTCTTCTTCCAGGTGTTCGGTTGCTTTTTTTCCAGAGTCGACGACACTCACGAGCACGAATGGATGCAAACGCTGGTTTAGTCACACGAACGCTCGCGCAACATCTCAACGCGCACCCCCATGTTTCACAGCACTGTCACAACGCCTCTTTGCACAATTACATTAGCAAGGAGACAAAAAGGATCTGAGTGGTACAGTGGCGTCCCAACCGACTGCTCCCTCACCCTAAAGATTGCTTTGTAATGGCGACCCCCTACATCGCTCTTCCTCCTCAACCTCCCTCCCTCCTTCGGCAGTCCCTGTCGCCCTGGAAGGAGGCACTGAGGCAGGGTGCAAGATAGACAGGTGGGGAAACGAGAGCCAAATGAGCGACCGGATTGTGTCCCCCTCGGTTTTCTCTTTGTCTGTGGCGCCGTTTATGTGGAGCACCGCGAACTCTCACTCCGGGTGGGCGACCGGCTAAACTGACAGAGATGGTTTCTCGTGGACTTTCAATGGAGGACTGTCGTGCTCTCGGTCTATTTTGCGCACTCGCCCATAGAGTTCCACGCAAATACGATTCCGACTTTTTTTCCTCTCGCCGCAACGCCGTCTGTCGCAAATCGTGGGTACCCGCAAGCAGAGGAGTACACAATCCGGTCACGGCGCTGCGGTAGGCTTCTATGGGTCGTTTCCCCACTTGTCTATCTTACACCCTGCACGGAAGCAAGACAGACACAAACGAATGGTGAGCAACACACAGAATGAGCGTGTTCTTCGAACGTCAAGCGCGTTCGGTGCCATGTACGGTGCCGTCCATCAGCAGTTGTCCGAATAGTTGTCCGCACAGCTGTCGGAGTCAGCCGCATAGCCGGCAACGGCGCCCGCCACCGTGGCCACGGCCGCCTTGGCTGCGATGGGGATGCCCGCGGCTCCCCAGCTCTGCAGGGTGGCGAAGGCGCCTCCCTTGACCACCACGCCGCCCATGAAGGACTGCGCCCAGGCGGCAACGGACCCGGCAGCCACGCCCGCAGCGCCGAAGCCCGCGGCGGACAAGACCGCAGGGGCTGCCAAGACCCCTCCGACGACGCCCACTGCAACCAACCACAAACACCTGACATCACGCACCTCGTAGGCCACAAGCAGCTGACATCACGCACCCCGTAGGCCGCACTTGCACTGCTCGTACAAAGACACAAGCTGCTCGCTGCAGGCATGTAATAATAATAAAATGTAATAATAATCGCTGTAATTTGTGTTTCGATTTACTTGGATTTCGAGTTAATTAGAAAACAAACGGCACGTTTACTTTAATTCAGCAAACGTCGTTTACTTGTTTCAATGTAAAAAAAAAAAAAATATGCCTAATTAGAAATATAGCTGAAACTGGACCATATAACTTCCCAGCGCACATCAGCTCGGAGCAGATGGACCGAAAGCTCGCGCTGCGGAACCCAGGATGCTGGGTTCAATACCCGCCCCTCCCCGTTTCGATCTGGATGAGCCTCGCACCGGCGTGCGGTCGTGTATCACTATGCGCTACTGTGTGAATCGGCCTTAGGAGTCTCAAGGTGGTGCTTTTTATATAATAGATGGTTGGCGACCTTTTATTAAAGGAGCGGTGCAACGATGTTCAATTGGGCTGTTTTTCACTTTACACGAGCTTACTGGCACTAGTGGGACTCAAGGATACTCGCACGCAACGCCACTGACCAAGAAACTCTTTTGTTGCGCAGTAATTTCGAGGACAAAACCGAGTGTTTCCATTCAATCTCTCCTTCGTAAAACCTGATGACGTAGTTGGGCGGTAGCAGAACCGCCCAGTGACGATATTTGAATGCGGCTCATAGATTGGACCCGAGCATTGCGTGAGCACTCGATTTGGGCTCGTGATAATCGATAACTCGACAGCCATTCGGGTAGTGGCCCGTGTCCAATCGCTGCAACGACGACAGTGAGCCGATCCATAAAAATGTCTGGAACTCAGCGCGTGACCTGTGCCTTGCCTACCCCAGCGCGTGGCTATGATCAGCACTGGCGGCATATAATCGGCTCCAGATCACGTGGCCGCTTGTCCTGGCTGCGAGTTGAAGGGGTGAACGCGGCTCGTTTTTCTTTATTTTTTTTTTCTGGGAATTCTATTGCGTGGAGTGAAAAACGAACCCGTGTTTCATAAGTGATTAACGTCAGGTGTCCCTTCTAAGCGGTATTTTCGCAGGCAAAGTACAAAAATTGTTGCATCGCCCCTTTAAAAGGGATCCCCATGGCTCAGTCGCTCTAGGACAACGTTTACAGAACCACGAGTTGTTTTAGCCGCGTAGTAAAGGCGCGATTGGGTTTTTATATTCTGCCTGATGCCACTGCTCTCTCAGATCGGAACACGTTATAATCAAATAAAGCCATGTGGTGCGGAAGCAGCACACCAGATGGTGCGCTAGACATTGCCCGACGTGTAAGGTGCCTATCGGCGACGTGCACGACCAAGAGCGTCGCTTTGGTCAACCTTCCATGCCGACTTGCCCAACGCTCACTCCGATGTCTTGCACGAGTATAGGTTGAATTCTATACTTGCATTAATGGAAATAAGGGGAATGTTCGTTTAAGACACGATGACTTCCACCGTGTTTTTTGCACACTCCGTCTAAATTGTCGCTGGGAAATCGATAATCCTGGTGGTGACGTGGCGGATAGGGACCATAAGATAGGAGCACCGAAACATCTCGTCGCCAATAGTCGGTGACAGGAACCCGGTGGACGGTGCGCCTCGAGCTTTCTGTCTTTTATAACACCTGGTCGCACGCGCAGCCAATGCACGATGGAAGGCAACAAGCGCGTGCTGGAGGAGGCGGACTACTAACTGGGTAATTAACTTGTCATTGAAATTCAGCCAGCAACACTGAAAATCTCCAGCAATGTGCGCCGAAAGCGATGGAGCACAAAGGTATACTCGTTTGTAATGCGTATAATTTCCAATCACACATGAACCTCGAAAACAGAGAATTACAATTTCCACAATAATCTAAGAGTATAGGCAGCGATTTTCAAGATCCCAATTTCTGCAGCTCATGATGCAACAAATCTGATGTCAAAAGCATTAAAAATAAATCGCTTACCTGCAACTGCACCCAGCTTCATAGCATCCTCAGCGTCCATCTACGAGTGAAGCAAATCATAGTGTGACGTGATTTATTTGAAAAATTACTGCATCCTTTATGGTCTCTATTCGGGTACATCGCAGCAAAAAGGAGAGAGACGTAACAATTGTCACGTGATTCACAGCGAACACTGCGGGTTCCATGCAAAAAGAACGAATGAACATTTAATATATGAATGCATTAGTACAAATCAGAATAGAAAGAATTTCGAAACCTACGCTATACTGTATCAGATGGAAGTTAGGTTATTTGTTTTCGACGGTCTGTGAAAGAAAATATTAATTGCATATTAATACGACCGACGATACACGGCCCAAGTGGTTGAGTCGCGACGGTACTCTGTTACGAGAGAAAGTCGACATTCTTTATGAAGCCAAGTCACTCACTTTTCTATAACGAGAAGATAGTTACGAAGCTCTTGATATAACAGATATTACGAAGCAGACATAAACGAAACATTTTAACACCAGCATATTCAGAAGGACACATGGGTGTTCAGTAGTGATCGTCAAGGGAAAATATGCTTTAAATAAACTCAAGATGGCTAATAAATGTGGACTGTCGCTTCATATTCCCATTTTGGTCGAACAGAGATTTCGTAGGCCATATTTTGTGGAGTGGACGCTGCACTTTTGTAGTGTTCTTTTAATGCGCCCAAGGGTGCGTGAAGCTTTCGCCCTTTCAATGTGATTATATCATATCAATATGACACCCGCTGATATGTAATGAAATAATTGTGAGAGTTGGGAAGTACTTTAAGTACATTGTAATTAAAGTACCATTTTAAGAAGCTTTAGAATACTTGTACTTTACTTGAAGTACATTCTCCGAATATGTGCTTCTACTTTACTTGAAGTACATTCTTTAAGTATGTGCTTCTACTTAAAGTATTTTTTTTTCTTGTACTTTCCAAGGAAAGTGCAACTCCAGACTTCGAAGTACATTCCCCAAATTTGATCTTGTTTAATTTGCATCACAAAATGATGCTTTATGAACCCTGGAGCCACTTGACTATATCCAATATTTGCCTCAACTTCCGAAAATAACTGACGCACCCCCGATTATCCCTAGAGCAATGATTACCAGTTTTTCCTTTTTAACTAAAATTAACTGCTGTGCTAGTTGGGCAAAATCTGTCACAACTTGAAAAACAAAATCTCTCGCAACTTGATACAGATGGCCTCTAAATATGGGTTTCAGGTGGTACTATCAGTACCTGATAAACCAAAAAAAGAAAGAACGGTGTACAAGGATACACTCTTAAAAGGAACGACAAGAACAATAGCTTTGATTATAATGCAATTACATGCAAAGGTGCAAGCGGGCTGGACAAGAATGATGAAAATAAACCCTGGAGAAGGGGAACAAGAGGGACATCATAAGAACAATAGCACTCAGTCCAGCACGCACATAAATATGCTGCAGTGTCGAAACCGAGTACGAAATACCGTGCACTTGTGGGAGAGTATACGTTGGTCAATCTGGCCGCTGCCTTAATGCAAGACTACGAGAGCATGACTTCTCTCTACGTTCACCGCCATCAGGTCACATAGCCATTCACGTCAGAGACAGTAAATGTACTCCTCTATTTGATGAAACAAAACTTCTCAATCGCTTTCGGCGCAAGAGAGCCAGAGAAATTTATGAGGCAAAATTCATAATAGAAAAAGGAGACACGTGCGTTCCTCCCCCCCTCCCCGCCACACTATTTTTCAATTTAGTGTTATGATTTTACTTTTTTAACATTAAAAAAATTGTGAATGCATTCAGCATTTCATTTTCGTCTTTCTATTTTCATGGATTAAGCGGTCAGTTGATAGAAAGCACTTGTCCTGCCCGTACCTTTGTCTTGTCCTTTGCGCTTTTGTATTTAAGATGTTAAAAAATGAAAGGGGAAGTATGAAAGAGTGTGTTAAAAAGTGATTGTACTTTAAAAGTGCATTGTATTTATAGTACTTTACTTCACGTATATGGCGCCCAGTGTACCTACTACTTTGCTTGAAGTACATAACCTCTCATTTGCTTTGTATACCTTACTTTAAGTATTTTTAGATGTACCTTACTCAACACTGGCTGAGTGTTAGTTACGCCAGCGAGAAGTTAGTCAGCCTCAGCGTATGTCTGCGCTGTAGATCAGACACAGTGTGAAGTACAACACCCTGGTGTTTTCAACGTGCGCTAGTGATACTTGTGGCGGTCGTCGTCAGTGACATCCAGAACAACAACCAGGACGGCAATGAGAATTAGCCGCGTCGCAACTCCATCCTCAGGTACGAGACGGCACCATTTCGCCCGCTTCGCGCGACCCTGCACAGCTATCGCTTTTACTTTTTGCACGTTGTGGGCGAAGAATACGACTTTATATCGTACCAATCGAGATTTCTAATGTAGGTGCAGAAACCTCAATTGGATCAATATTAATGTCGATCGAACCTATAGATATTGCTATTCATGCAGTATCCAATAGAAATGTATATTGGGCCTATTGAGATCACTACACTGGTCGAATAGGAATGTCTATTGGTCGTATAGATACTTTTATTTGACCGATAGAAAATTCAATTAGCCAAACTGAAAGCTCTATTGGTCCAGTAAGAACTTCTGTTCGCCTCATATACGTATATAGGAACTCTTATCCTATCCGAGGGTGTGCTCGATTGAAATTTAATTCCAGCACACCTGCGGGTGAGACTGAAATGACTGCACAATAACCATCTTTTACTTTCGTGTTTCAGAAGACGTGACGGTACAGAGAAATGCTTCCGAGTGTGTACCGCCACGCGATGCGCTATACGATACATGGATCTACTTTCCCCTTCCTCTGCCTGGAATGCAGTTTTGGGAAGTACTTTAACTATAGGTTGTACTACATGAAGTAGGTTTACAAAACCTGTACCTTACTATACTCCATTTCACCTTATGTTGTACCGCAGAGAAGGCTAGAAGCACGAGCTCATAGCGTTGGAAGCTGCTCTTGAGCTTGTGCTGCCGAGAAGTGCCCTAGAGCAAAGAGCTATCGCTTGTAGCCTTTCCTGCGGTACATCATAAGGTGAAACAGAGTATAGCACATTATATCTAGCTATGTACGTGTACTTTACTCAAAGTATTCTTTTCTGGTACTTTCCGAGCAAAGTGCAACTTCCCACTTCAAATTTGGTATCGTTAGATTTTGATAACAAAATGATGCTTTGTCAACAAATAAGTGCCTTATAGGTTATAAGGGTGTCATGTTTTCGGAAAAATCCGAAGAACACTCGCCGGTAAATTTTTTGTCAATCCCGATTTATCCGAAAAACGTAACATTTCAAAATCGCGACGAAAAAAAAGACGGTAAAAGAAGTTTGGTTCGAGTGGTCCCGAGAAGAGGCTACTCCAGTTTTCTTTCAGGACTCGGACAATTGACCAAAGGGGGTTATTGTTTGTCTCGACAAGGTTTATTCAGGAAACGGATCATTGTACTTATGGGTCGCAATAAAGGACACTGTTCCGATTTCTGGGCGGGGTGTAGTAATGGAATGGGAAGAAAATGAGCTCTCCAGCGCCTACGTCCAATAGCTAGGTGATTTTAAAGTATTGCCAATTATGGAAGCGACAATTACCTGCAAGTTTTGCCATGGGACAGTTGGTATTGCCAATGGCAAAGGCGCTAAGCAATGGCAACGGCAGAAACAAGGGCGCAATTAACTGAAGAAATAACTTTTGATGCAAGCGCGGTCTTTGAATCCAACACACGTTTACACCTGGATATATATATATATATAGACAGAGAGAGAGAGATTTTTAATCACTGTCAAATTAAGCTTTGAATTTCGGAGAATTAGGAATCTAACAAAAATGAACTGATATAAACTCCGAATTTTCATCAAAAAATAAACTTCGAAAAACGCCCTTAGATTTTGACGAAAAAATGATCTCCCGAAAGCATGCAACCGTAGTTATAAGTTGTGTTCGTCAGCGAGAGTAAAACAACTACTCTGTGGCCACTTGGCTTTATCAAATATTTGCGGCTATTTCCGAAAATAACCGATACACCGCCGATTACCCCTGGGTCAATGCACGTGGCTTTGGCGAATGACGAAGTTGCCTTTATCACAAAATTCCGCAAATTAGTTTAAATGTTTGCAGGCGTACCTCAAGGGGGTTGATTATCTTTTATCTATCTGGCTTCTTTTATGTCTTCCTTTTTGTTCCTTGCAGGGATAAACTTCAGTTGCCAGGCAGCGTTGTGCTCGTTCACTTCTCGTTCTTGTCCCTCGTGTATTTTGCGCTTTCTCAAGTTTTCATGATGCACCAACTTCGTGCCTTGTCTCAATGCAGACCAGATTAAAAAGATACCAGTTTAAAAAGAAAACGACGCTGGGAATGAAAGAGCATAATGAGATTATCTTAAAAAGTACTTGTACTTTACTGTGAAAGTATAATGTAAACTTTACTGAAGTACATTGCGCCCAATGTACTTGAAGTACACTACCTCTAATTTAATTTGTACTTTACTTCAAGTATTTTTTTTTTATGTACTTTACTCTACAATGCTGGAACGACAGTCGTTTCGAGGCGTTTTCTTCACGTGTCCAGCGCAGCTTGAGTCCGAAGAGCGATGTAAGCGATATGCCCAGGAAATATACATTTCCAGCCGTTATTCAGATCAGTATATTTACGATGAATTATGTTTGTACGCCTAGCAGTCTTCCCGCGAAACTTTTGTAAACTGTGAACCATAAAATTTCTCATAACAGAAACAAAAATGGCACTTACGACGGAAATGTTGTCGACCTCAACAATTCCGACTATAAAACTTATACGTACGCAAAATAAACGCGCTTTTATTTTTTTATTTTTTTTTGGGGGGGGGGGGGGGGGGGGGGGCGGGGAAGGGGGGGAAGGGAGGGAGGGGGGTTAGTTTGAAGGCAGAAAATATTTTGAGTTCTTTTTTGAGGACTCTTGTCCCCTCAGAAACCTGCACGTGCCCTGCGATTGCGTAATCCATAGGACTGCATTCTGATCACTAGGGGTCCATATCACATGAGCGAATGACGTGTTAGCGAACAACGACATTTGAGCGAATAACGGGGGCGCGTGTTAAGCCAACCTCCCGCCCTGCGCTTACGCCGCTTCGCGGCGACAGTCTGCGGCGGCTCACTACAAAAATGTGAACCCACTTGGCCCACCCGGAAACGCCGCTTTACGGCGGCCGACTATTCGCTAAAGTGTCATTCGGTGAAACGCAGGTGTTCGCTAAACAGTCATTTAATCAAATTAGTGCCTCTTATCGCCAGCGCGTCATCTAATATACTAGTCCATCGGTGACCCCCGTGCTGTACTGGACAGGGTCACGGGAAAAAGATCTAACTATGGCGGAGTCCTGTCTCGCAATCCGTATCGACTGAGGGATCGGAGGCCGAGTGGGCTAGCGCACACCTGGGGCCCTAAACTCGTCAAACACAAAGTTGGAGCCGAAAGTTCGCGGAGCGCGCCGATTGGACGTCGGCGACAAAAGTGCAAGTCATTGTCGCGATTATCCAATCGGTGCGCTCCGTCAACTTCGGCCCCAACTTTGCGTTTGACGAGTTTAGAGCCCCAGCTCGGAGCTCGTGGAGCGAAAGATCGCGCTGCAGAACCCAGGGATCCTAGGTGCAACAACACCCCTGCCCGTTTCGATCTGGATGAGCATCGCACCGGCGTGCGTGCGGTCGTGTATCACTACTGCGTGGTGCACGTCAAAGACCCCAGGCTAGCGGTTGTACTGCACTGGCTAAATTGCTCATCTACAGCTGAGAGTCGCCTTTTTGAGCCAGATTAACTTCAGGACAGGCGGTATAAACATACAACACACAATCCGTTTCGATTCCGAAACTATGCAGGACTGTCACGAGGAAATCTAGGCCCGGTTCGTTCACCAAAGTTACACTCGCAATGATGCAGCCTTTTAAATTACGGTAACGTAAAAAATAATAATAAATAAAAAATCTTGGTAACGTTAAATATGCGCGAGTTTTTGCTGTTTGAACACGCGTCGTGCAATACGGAAGGAACATGCGCGAGATAAATTTCAAAAGATACGAAGCATCAAATTACGCTTACCCTTCTTTAAATTGCCTGGGGGGCGGACACCTACGAGCGAACACTGTTGCAGAGTAGAAGTGAGCAGCTAAACAATACCAATTTCTGACTGAAAGCGACAACCGCCGCCTTCCTCCACGTATCTCAGCGACTCGGCGGGGCTGGCGGGGCTGCGAGTCTCTTAAACTCCCTAGAGGGAATTTAGAAGCCGCCAGCCGGTACTGGCACGGCGGGCACGGAAACTCGCCAGTCGCCCAAAATGTACCCAGATGTCCCTAGGGCCTAGAGTGTCCTTCGCTTTTGCATATTTGTAAGCTTCAAAACACGGGGTGTTTCGCCATCTTTGAAATGAGATAGTTGGTTCATAATTTCCAAAATGTATCCTAAAAACAACACACGGTCGGGCGCTCGCCCGGGTTGTTCGTGTCCTCTTCAAAATAAAACTACGCATTGCTTCAGGGAAAAAAAAACAACACAAAAACACGAAGTGATATATTGGCCTCTACCAAAGGGCCCATTCAGGAAGTTAATAATGTTCGCGATCATTGCTTAGTTAATTATTAGTTATACATATAACTTTGAAAAAAAAAAAGCTTTAGCTGAACTTGTTGGTTATTTTCAAGTTTACATTCGTCCATTGCTCAAACTCATTGAGCTTACTTCACTAGCAAGTTTTTTTTTCGGACTGGGAGGGGGAAAGGGGGGGGGGGGGGGTTAGGGAGGGATTAAAGTGGTAGGGATTAAAAGGCCTGCACGGGTCCGTCCGGCCCGCGGGTCGGGGTCGGGCTTCACGGCTACATTCATGAAGGGCCCGAGACGGGCACGGACCTTGCATTCGTGTCTACAAGGCCAGCCGAAACTAGACAAACCGGCCGTCACTTTTTTTTTTTTTTTTTTTTGTTCAGCAGCAAAGTGTTTGGAAGTTTGTTCGGGGGGTTGCGGGAGGGAATACGGTGGGGGAGGTTCGAATGCTGAAAGCACGTGTATGTGTGTTTGTACGGCTCGGTTTCACCTTATTCTCCCAGAGCACCAGCGCCGCGACATTCATTTTCGCCGCCGGCGACGCCGCCGTCGTACAGTCGTTTCTCCCCGTGAACGCGCACACATACGGGACTACACACTGCGTACCCTCACTGGCGAAGAACATCTGTACGTGCGAGTGCCTGCATCCACAATGTGGGCGAAGAGCTTCCCCTCAGGGGTGCTTTTCATAAACAATTCTTCGCAGACCACTGCCAGAGACGGCAATATATATACATTTTTTTCGGTTGTACACAGCGGGAGTGGACAATTCAGATACTTGCCAGTGTTCTGTCCGACCGCAGGAGGCTGATGCGTCAGCAGTGGACAGCAGCTTTAGGATATTTGTGCTAGGTCACGCTATCGCCTTCGAATGAGTTGTAAGGTTCAATGCCGTACCTTGAGTAACATGAGGCAGAAGTCCGTGACAAGTCAAGAGTTCAGGGAAAACTCCTCCCACCCCCTTTCCACTTTAGCAGAACAAACACCGGAGAGGGGTCGCCTCCTCTCCAGCGTTCTCTGCTAAAGTGGAAAGGGATGGAAGGAGTTTCCCCTTAATTCACAACCTGTCACTGACTAAGGTAGGTTATAGAAAAATACACTTACCCTCTGATGCAAGGGAGGAGTGTGTGGATAGGGTAATCCTTCGAATTGGACGGCGGTTAGCACAACCTGTACGTGCTTTGCACCCGACGTCATCCCGTTATGTCTCCGGCCACCCCCAAAGAGGGGAAGGAGGAACTCCCCTCTCACCGGGACACTTTTTTGTGCGTCCCGGACGTCCCTATTATCTCTGGAAGATTAATCCGTCCCTCAGTTGGCACAAAAGCGACTTCCCCCCCTCTCTCTCTTCTGTGGTGGTGCGGCATGAATGATGCGACGTCTGTGCAAAGCATATATGATCTGCGCTTCTAACTTCAGCAGCTCCTCTAACATCGTCCAACAGTAGTAGCATAGTATTAGCTTGAATGAGATTCATAACAGCCTTTGACTCCCAAGCTTTAATTACACGAGACGTTCAACTAATCTGTTCCACAATTTATTGCGATACATTTAATGAAAAATTTCAAGGCGGCCATGCCACCTTGCCATAACTTAACCCGCTAAATTTAGCTGAAAAATTTCCCCGCTAAATTTAGTGGGATAGCGGCTAAATTTCACCGATAAATTTAGCGGGAGAAGGAAGTGGAGGGGTACGGAGGGGCATACCCTCCCAAGAGCTGCGCTCTAATTTCGCATTACAGGAGTTTGTAAACGTCTTTCACTTTTTTTTTTTTCCATTCGTACAAATGTCAGGAAATAGCTTCAAAATGGCGCTTGACGAGTCCCCAGGCCCATAGCAATGGAGGCAAAACCAACATGTACAAAATATACACTCGAGTCAAAGTAAGAGTAAAAAATCGCCAATGGAGCCAGAAACACATGAATTTGTTATTATTGTACCCTTTGACTCTCAGGATACAGTGGGGGAAGCTGATTCCAAGAATCAGTTAAATTGCATCACCGACAATACAAGCTTGCAAATAAGTAAAAAAAAAAAAAAAAGATTACTGTTGCCAACTCAAAAACCCGAAATAGGAATCTTCAAAAACTTGAATTTCAGGTGCAGGGCTAGAGTGGCTTTTTAACGTTGCACAACTCCATTAAAAAAAAAAAAAAAAATGTACAAGGTTATGTTGGTTTGGATCGCTTGCATGCTCATAAGGATGTCAGTGATGCGATTGGTCCGAATCATTTTAGAGCACCTTGTGGAGAGGCAAACCTTTGGAGCATAAGCACACCTTTCACAGCAGTGCTATTCAGTGCGAAAATCATGTTAAGATTTATGTGTTTATGTCTACATCGCGTTCCTGCTTCTGTGCAACCTTTTGATGACAACAGCATAGATGCTGAAAGATGAAGGGCAGTAGGAACTGCTGCGAATGGTTATTTTTGGTACGAAATGAAACATAAACCAAATCCAATGGTGGAACTGACAAGCGGTGAACTGGAGCAGCTCTCGTAGCAGGGAAAAAAACGGGTTTTGGAGCAGAAATACCCACTTTTGGAGCAGACAATTTTGAGCTTTCATGTCAGATAATTTATTATACCTACAGGGGACCTGGCCTCTACAGATATTTAATTATTGAACAATCATACGCCGAAGATTTGTAGATGTCTCGATTAACCCAGTTAGGAGCATCGATGGCGTTTCGGTCTGTGTTTGACGTGAACAGATGTTTTGGGGTACTTTGTAGGGTTTTGCATCACGGTGACGTAATTGTCGCGAGTTCGACATCAAACGGACACTTTTGTGTTGAATGTGTCTCCCACTGCCCTTGCTCGTATTCAACCTGCTGCTATTCATAGAGCAGCTAAGTGAAGCACATAGCAACTCGAACCGATCAGGAGTAGCGCTAGCTATACATGGCTTGCATTGACGTCACATCAGCCGCCATTGCTCCGTACCGTTCTCCTGTGCCCGTAAATTCTGCAGCCTACATTTGACACCATTGAATTTGTTTTTCTGGTCAAGACTTGCCGAGAAGAGCAGATTCGATGGTGCCAAATGTATGCCGCAAAAGGCTCCGTACAGGAACCTGGCACGGAGCAATGGCGGCTGGTACAGTGCCATATGACGTCACGTGCAAGGCATGTATTCATTGCGATCGATGGGAGAACCGTTCGCACAAAAACGGATAACTCTTCGTTAGGCTTGTGCAAATAATGAATTTTGGTTTCGAAGCAAATTCAATGCGAATACTAGTTATGGCCGATTGTTTTCAATCGAATATTGAAGAGTTGTTGCACTTTTCTCCGCGCCTTTTACTACTTTTACTAGGTTGCCAACTCATGAGCTGTTAAATTTAATCTATCTATATTTATGGACTATAGCCTCAGAAAGTCCAGTACCTTCATTGGGATGGCAAGGAAACTACAGCTGACATAAAATTATACCCATAAAGGAGCCCAGCCATTGAGGGGTTTTATAAATTTTCTAGCTATATCGAAATATTTTTTCTCTTCTGAATAAACAAAAACAACAAAGAAACAAACAATGATCACAGGTTTTTAGAATGTAACACCTTTGCATAATAGCCAGTTAAATTTTAAAGATTTTACTGCATTGTAATAACAATGAAAGTCCTTTTTTTATTTTTTTATTAATAAATCAGGCGCGCGCGTGCATAATACTAGTTTGAAGGTGTGTTTTTCGCCGAAAAAATTTTTTTTTAAACAGTCTGGTTAGGACATGCATGTTGAAAAATAAATTTTACGCGTATATATATATATATATATATATATATGAACGAATATGTGCAGATGAATGAACCGTACTTAATCCAATGAATTAAAGAATCCAAGTTTTCAGGAACCCGCCGAAAGCCAAAAAACGGCGGAGCCAGGATATGAACTCTGGGCCTCCCAATGTCCGGTCGGGTGTGCTAACCACTACACTACTCCACCTTGGCTTTCTGGCGTTTCCTATCTGTCTTATTAATGCACAAGAAAGGAAATGTATCCAATCGGAGGTGTTCTGGAAACACACGCCGCCGCGTGTGTATATATGTATATATATATATATATGTATAGCAATATTGACGGCGAGATATATTTCAAATTCTGCGCGCAAAGTCCATGAAGTCACGGAATGGTCACTCGCTCCAATGAAGCCTTTCGCTCTTTCCACTTCAACGTGAATCCGATCCAGCTCTCCTCCACGCGCCCGAAATGCCGAGAAAACAAGTGGAAAGGAGGTGACTAACGACTAAATCGCATCTCGCGCCGTCAATATTGCCTTAAAAAAAAAAAAAAATCGCGTAAAACAAATTTTTTGATACGCGTGTCCCGACCACCGTGGTCTCAACCAAACAGCAAAAAAAAAAAAAAAAATCATTTTTGGTTTTTTTTTTTTAGGCGCGCGGCTGCAGTGCGGCGAAGCGAGTTGCGAGATCGCCGTGTCCGCTCCGCGGGTATTGCTACTCCGCAGTGCACCCGTGCTTGAGGAGAAGGGCACTCAAGGGGGATATCCCGCCGCGATCCACACTTGGGGAAAATATGAACATCGCAGTTCATTTGGAAGCGAATATCAAATAACGTATTATTTGAAACCACTATGAGATAACTCGAACATTCACGCAGCCCTACTCTTCAGACATAGTACTTAGGCATAAGAAAAAAACTGCACTTTTTTCATTTTCAGCGGCACCGCCAACAATGTCACGTGCAAGACACTTCCAGTTTCCTTTTCGGGAACAGCTAGCTCCCTTTCGGCGCGGACATGGCGGAAATTGTGAAATACAACATTTGGAGCAGCATGTAGCAACTTATTTGTTCTGGCACAATTGGCGCAGCAGTTGCACCACTGCAAATAGTATAATACACTGAAAATATTCTAGAATATAGTCAAGTCCGGCTTCAGGGCGCTGCCATCTTGTTCGGCTGGGGTGCGCTTGGACGCGTCATAATCCGATTACGAAGCCTTGCTAAGGCGTCGTAATCGGATTATTGCCGCGCCCAAGCGCTCCCCACTGAGCAAGATGACGGCGCCCTGAGACCGGACTTGCAAATGTGTATTGATTTTCTATCAAGTTCTGATGTTGTAATAAAACTACAGTTCTTAATTTAGATAACATACAAAGCATTTGTCACTTGATTATGAACACCAATGAAAAGCAGAATAAGAAAAATCGGCATGTAAATAAAATGACGCTTTATTAAAAAAATCTTGCCAAACACGTTTAGGTTTTCCCAGGTTTGCATTTACTGCTCCAGCTAATTTATTTTTTATTTCTTGTATTCACTGTGCCACCATACAGATAGCTAAACGAGAATTGACATAAAAAATCAGCCTACAGAGCAGTACACCAAAGTTCTCTCGTGAATATTCAAGTATCCTTGATGAATCTTTAATGTGAAAAAAAAAAGAATGTCCGAATATCATTATCACAAATACCATGGTCGGCGACTGTTAAAGTGGAAGCACCTCCCACATCTTTGCACTTTGCAGAGCGAACGCTGGAGGAAGTCACCTCCACAATGCAGTGTTTGCCCTGCAAACGTGGAAAGAGCTGGGAAGAGTTTCCTTTGATCTCTTAACCTGTCATCGACTATAGTCTCTCAAAGGTTGGAATTCAGAAAACACGGGGGAATCTCCCATGTTTTTTTAATTCTTGCGCATAGTTCAAATTTATACATTCATGCACAAATCAGTAGAAAGCATGCTTCAAGGTTTGCCACAAATATCTCAATGGCGTCGCAAGCGTTACACCCACCGACTATTTTGCTGAGAGTAAGCAAAGATGGCAACAAACTCGAGAGCATTTTAGACCGCCAAAAAAAAAATACCAATATTACTTGAAAACTGCTACAAATCCTGCCACCGACGAACTGGCGATTTCTCCCACTAGAGAACTCAGAAAACCGCTAAATCTAGCGGGAAAACCGTTGAATTCACAACACTGAAAATAACCAGTTCCTTCACAGTCCTCACTGCCCTTGCAAGCTTGCTGTCTTAATTGCTTCACCGCCTTCGCCAGCTTCACTGCATTTGCATGTTTCACTGTGTTTGCAAGTTTCATTGCATTTGCAGGTTTCACTGTGTTTGCAAGTTTCATTGCATTTGCAAGCTCCCCTGCATTTGCTAGTTCCAGTGCACTTGCAAGCTTCACAGCATTTGCAAGCTTTGCTGCATTTGCAAACTTTGCATGTCTGCTTCTTTTTGTCTTTCATCAGGAGGGTCGCCGTTCCCAGTCCCGTGGCACCGCCACAGGCAGTGAAGAGCGACTGGAAAGCTGCCGGGATGCCTACAGCGCCCCAGCTTTGCATAGTGGCGAACAGGCTTCCCTTCACGATCACGCCACCCATCAATGATTGGATCGAGGCGGCCGCTGATCCCGCCGTCACGCCGCCGGGACCAAAACCAAAACCGAGGAGCCCAAGGCCTGGCACGGCGAGCCCAGCGATTACGCCACCTGCGCAATACAGGAGTACAGGTACAGAAGAGCGGGTGCTTCATTTCGTACATAAGGTGGCTAAGTTCATAAGGAGTTGACAATTCTTTTTCCTTTCAACGAATCTGGATGAAAGTTCATCCCCCTCTTCAGTTGAACTGGACCAACTCGTAGGGAGGAAAGAGATCAGGAAAAACCACATGCATGGTTTTCCCCTGACCCATATATTTACTGTAGGGAATCAATTTATGCTATGGTATCAAATCCATAAGCTACATTATCAGACTGATACCACAGCATATTGACTCCATACCGTAGCGTGTTAATAAGATGCCCGAAGATAATTCCCAAAGAATGTGGAGTGACCCACGTCGCAGGCTGTTTGACATACTTCCCTTCATTTATTTCACACCAAGGCTCAGCAGAAATGCTTGAATACGAAGTACTCAGGCTACGAGCTTTGGTTCTTACAGTTGAAGTTAACGCAAAAAAGGGTAAGCAGTCTAAATATGCCCAATAGCGTCAAAACTTTCAAGGCAGGCAGGCACACACGGAATACTCAATGACGGTGCAGATCCGCGCTCAGCAGGTTTAGACAGCTCGAGAAGGCGACAGAAAATTCATGGCTGATAGGGGTCGCAAGAGTCACAGGAAGGTGGCGGCAAAATAACCTTTCTTTAAAGACACACTGACACCCTCCAAGATTTATTTTTTTTATTTTTTGCCAGGCAATTCATTATGGTGGCAGAAGACTACTCAATCAATATTTTGCTACAGCATCGCATTTATTTTTAATAAAGTAAAAGACGAAACTGCTCAAAGCCGAAACAACTAAGGATGAAGAATACAGAGGAAGAGAGACGACCTGTAACTAATGGTGCATAATTTCCAATGTTTATTAATAAAAAAAAACAAAAAACCGGCAGATGTTTTTCGGTGTTTATTCATTTTCTTAAACACCGGTGTACCTCGGTTGGACGACTTGTGACGAGGCTAAAAACGGTTATTGGTGAAAAAAATGACGATCTACACATCCTTAGCCAACGTGAATAAATGCCATCACAGCCAAAGTAATTGAGGTTAATTATTTTGAAGGGGCTCGATGGGCGCGTCAAATGTTGACAATGGTTTTCTGTAGCCGCGGCATTAACTTCACTCTCAGGATAGCCAAAAAGACGCGCAGCTTCATCTTGTTTCTCGGCTCAGTGCTTGTTATCGACAATTGAGAAAAGACGCGCAGAATCCACGTTTTACTGGGGAAGTAGCAGAATTTTCGGAGCACCTTTTGCGACTGTGAGGTGGGCAAAACCTACGCCCGTCAGCCCTCCATCCAAAAAAAGTGGAACACTTCCAGCGAACCCAAGACGGGGTGACATCAAACCGAACCCGTAGCCCCAGAAGCCCTTGAAAACTAAACACATATCAATGAATGCATCCCCATTCCCCAGGCGAAGAGACGCATTCTCTAAGGCCAGTGGCCCTGGACCACGCTGGTGTTGGCAGTGTCTTACAAGAATCACAGCGATCTCTGAATAGAAGCTGGAAGGATGCAGGATCCACGAGATAACATGTTTGACGAACCTCTACGGGAGAGAAGTTTCGAAGAAAATAGCCTTCACTAGGGCGGAAAACATTCAACGACCGGTGTTTTCGGTTTTAATCAGAGCGAAATTATTCAACCACCAGTGTTTTTTGGTTTTAACTGATTTTTAATTTTTGTCTCTGGCAGACGCTTATTAGGGGTTTTCGGTTAAAACCAGAAAGTGCACAGCCATCTTACAATGAAGTCGGTTATAATGAAATAGCGGCTATAGCAAAGCAATCATGATTTCCCATTCTCCATTGCACTTTTTCAACGTACAGTCGACTCTCGTTAATTCAAACTTGCGGATAATTCAAACCAACATGCAGGTCCCATCCTATGCGTCTCTATGGAAGGAAACTCCCGGAAATTCAAACTTTGCTTTATTCAAACAAATTTTCGGTCCCCCTCGAGTTTGGATTAACGAGATTCGACTGTATTTGTGTCTGTTTTTAGCGAAGGAAACAGAACGGCTCCCACGAATATAGCAAAAAAAAACTTATGTGATAATTTAAAAAATAACCAAATTTAGAAAGTTTACTAAGTCGCAGACCACCGCATTTCGCTGCCGCGGTCAAGCAGTCACCGAGAACAGGCAGCACATGATGCCGGTGGAAGTTGCCTCTACATAGTCGTCTGCTCTCCACTACTCGTCTGGAATACGGGTTTTCCGCATTGCTCGCAGGGAAGTCGTCGTGGCACGCCGATGGGGCGTTCAGAGCATCGGCGACAAACGTACCGACAGAGAGAGTCTAAATTTAAGAGAGGGTGCAATGCTGACCATGGAGAGCATTTGCAATTTAATGGCGGATGCCTCCTGGGCAGATTAGAGCAAGTGCGCCTGGGTTTGGGTTGTTGCGTGTCCAGCGTTGCGAGGAAACTCGTTGGAAAGGCGGAGACGTTCGGGTGCGTTTGCAAACGGTGAACACTTTCGACTATCCGCAGGCTGCAGCTCATTTTGCAAGTCTGGCACACAAACCATGTGACCCCGATCAAACAGTTGCCCCCCCCCCCCCCCTCTGAAACCTAGGATCTCCATACCGACGAAACAGGAACTTGAGCGCGAACTTGGAGCCTTGTGCACTTCTTTGATTGCTTCGTGTCCCGTGTCGGCATCACTGGCGTGCACGGTCACTCTCGGAGCAAAAGTCTAGCTTAGCTCAAGTGCCGATGCAGCGAATCGCCACTCAACGACAGGGAAGGGGAAGGCAATCAAGTCGATATAGAGAAGTGATCCGATTCTGGTTGACTTCGTTCTATCCGGTCTCGACAGTGTGCTTGTGTAGAGTGCACAACATATTCCCAGTGTTAATTTGTGGCCCTCCGATGCTTCTCAAAATTACTCTATTGAACCAATACATCATTTTGTCACCCGAACAATTTGGACAATGGACGCCACGGATGAGAATGGACGGAACGTCACCGTAAACATGCCTTTTATGCCATAACTCGGTCACAATTGCCAACTCGATGCTCTTGTAAAGATTCGGTTTTGGTGATGCCAAACACGCATTCCGTGTTCCCATTAGAAAAATGGTTTTGGGCATGGACACAGTGGCCAGGCTCACTTTGGAAGAGGTTTACCTGCATTATAAATTGGACATAGACTAATACTGAAACCACAATTATGTACATACCTGCACAGGCTCCAACTGCAATGAGCGTTTTCTTGTTGGCCTTCTGCAAAACAAGCAAACATGTTAAATTCAGCTCAAAAAGTGTCCTTCCTTTTGGCTGACTCTTGTCAGCTTCTTGATATCTCTTAGTATAAGAGATATAAATTATTATTATTATTATTAATATTATTAAGATAATGTACCATTCACTCATAATGCCAGGTTTAGTGTGCCACTAAGAAAGCATGAAGGAAACCATGCAGGTAGCATTTCCTCACACGCCATACTCTATTCTGTAGTCATTACTCAGCATGTTCAGGACACCAAGATAGTTAGAAGTCCCCCTGCACTGTCCAAAATGAAGGTCTCAGCCATGGGGAAGACGTTAGTTGACATATTTTAAAGAAAAGTACATACTACTAACGGGCAATTCTTTTTTGCCAGGAAAGCACTACAATTCGATATTAGCTGCAACATATAATTTTTGTTTATAGATGCACACTGCTATCAATACCTCAGTCTCAGGTTTTTCACAAAAATGTCTGCTTTCACATTTGAAGACACACGGTAACGGCGCATCCACACTGGAAGCGGATCCACGTTCGCGAAGCAGTTGCAGATGCAGTTCACGGGCGCCCCGTTCAGACACACCGAGAGGCGGCTGGCGGTTTCTTGGCGATCACGCGTTATCTTTTGAGACTTGTGTTTAGCAACCATGGTTCACACTTCAAAATCCACTTTAATCCACAATCTAAAGCCAAAATTTTGCTATCTTGGCACTCTGAAGATTTTTCTTTGGGTTGTTTGCACGCATCACGAGTTCAAGCAGCGAAAAAAGAGGCATGGACCTGCACAACTCGCCTGTGATTCCCTCGACATCGCCCACAAGCAAAGCCCAGCTAGTCGCGCCTTGCTGACTCAGAACAGGATGCCCCCGACCTTTCCTTCAAAGTGGACCCTTCCCGCATGAATAGCTGACCTTGTTTTCGGAATAGAGGGCCGGTTTTCCCCCCTCGTTGTTCGCTCTTATCATTTTCAAAGTTGTGAACGGCACTGGTGGACCGTGGTGCGGGGGAGTGTGTTCGGTGCTAGCCGGTCGTGGCTTCGTTGGTGGCGGACTCTGCTCGATCAAGTCTACTGTTTGTTTGCCATTAAGCTCAAATAAACGCCGTATGGATTACCTCTGCATCGTCTGGTACATACACTTTATTTCTCGAGTATGTTCCCTTTAGTTTCTTTTCTTAGTAGTAAATGTTACAGGTCGAGCTACAGCAGGTACTCTGCATGCTCCGCGGTAATGCCTTGGCTGTGCAATTGGGCGCACGACGTCTCTATTGGCCTTCGTGGTGGTCATGCACGGTGTTGAAAGCTTTCAATAGTTCACACGACTGCCTTAGTGGGTACAAAGGCTGACATTTCAGTCTATCAGGGATGGGTTCCGACATTCTACGGGCAGAGACAAGCAAGGCAGTGAGCTTCGGGCTGTGGCACCCAGAATAAACAAACTCTTACCCAAACTAAATTACCGGTGCAAAGCCCGTTAAGATAACAAGTTAATTCTTTTCACGGCGGATTCAAGTGACAGCGTTCATCTGCGTCGTCTTCCCAGTCGTTTGTTCAGCCACATCGTCACAGTCATTTTGTATCGAAAGCCACAGACGTCACGTCAGCGTCCCGTTGCGATTGGCTGCCGTTTCGCGGTTCGCGAAAGCGGTTGGGGCAAATCGGTCCCGAAGCGGTTGGCAAAAACGCGCTCCACCCGCTCGATCCCAGCCGCTTTGCGGTTAAAAACGCGCAGATCCGCTTCGCGCTTGTAGATCCTCTTCCAGTGTGAACGCGCCATAAGAGGAGCTTCTTTCAAATAATACTCTTGCCATCTGCTAACGCAGGGGTGGAACTCATGAAATGTACCTGGGAGCAGCCACGGGAGCAGCTGAAACAGCTGTTTTGGAGCAGGTTGGGAGCAGCTAAAACTACGTTCTGGAGCAGGCTAGGAGCAGCTCAGATCAGTTTTCATTGCACTTCAGCTTGCGTCTTAGACAAGCACGGGAGCCATTTCAATCGTACTTAGCAGAACAGATGAACATGAATGGTTAGGGACCTAGGTAGATGGGATAACAGTGTAACAGATGCGAAAACTTGAAACTTTGTGAGCCTTAATGAGAATCAAAAAGCCAGTACCCTGTTTCTCAAGATAGCGTCCTTGATATTATCCGAGCGGCTTTCAGCTGCTCAAAATGCAAACCAGCACTGCTTATCGCACAACCCACACATGCTTGACATAGTAATTATATGTCCGAACCCCGTGACGTGCGCAAGCAATGGACGTGCAGTTGCACGGAGGAAGAGGGCAACAAATTTCGCGTTTATTCTATTGTGCAACTCGATTACGAAGCAGCAGACTACGATTAACGAAGTTATCGTATTTGAAGCGATAAGCAGGAGCAAGGTTAATGTACGCCGAGTAGATATACCACTCGCGTAAGAGCTGCTGGCCGGCAAGGTTTCGGATCGGACCGCGTTCCAGTTCAATCAAATCACGATTTATCTTGCGAGAATGCGGTTCCAACTTCTAACGACGAAGTACTAAAAGGAATATCTTGCTCATTTGTTTTCAACTGGCTGACGTCCGGATCCCGGGCCGCAGAGCCTCAAGCAATTTGACGCTTAACGACTCGACCTCACCTCAGCCGACTTGCTTAACCGCTTATGGTTGAAGAATAACAATCCAGTCGCAGGTGGTGTGGCGCTTAGAATCCGAGTTTTTTCGCGCGCTTCCGACTCGGGATACACAGGGAGAATAAACAGAACAAAGGATTGCAAGGCCGACCAGGCTGAACGCGCTCATTGTTGCCAATCGAGTCAATAAAACCGAAACCAAGACAAAATAAAAAGTTTCTTGGCGCACGTTTTGCGATCTGGCGCATAATGGCGCGAGGTATTGGCTGTGGCGCAGTTTCTGCAACATGGCGCAGGATGGCGCAGACATATGCGTCTGGCGCAAAATGGCGCAAATGGCGCAGCCGTTCCACCCCTGCTAACGGCTGGGATTTAAATGACAACACAGAACAGTCTGCCAACAGAACAGAGATATATACACACAACAAACTGCAGATGTTTTAGCTCTCTCCAAGTCAGCATTGTATCCCAAGTATGTAAGCTGCACAATAAAGGAGCAGCAGAGAGAATATCCTGTTCTAGTGATTGGCACATGACAGCATGATATGCCAGCATTACATAATGGCACGACACAACGGCTCTCACGACATAATTTGCTGCCACTTCGGGGCTGCTTTCGACAGATGGGCAAGATGGCACAGTGAACACAGCAGTCGAAGACGCTCTCAGAGCACCGTCAAAACACGAAGACGAGCTGAAATCACACTCACCAAGAACTTTGAGGCTGCGGACACTTTCGAAGATTGGCAACCTTGCTTCCCCGGTTCAGTGGGACGAGAAGGCTTCTCATCGGGCGGGCCTGCGGGAGGAGAGAAATAATTTGCCATTTTTGGAAGCGGCATAGCATGGGGGAGCATTCGCACACTGAGTGAACATAGGGCAACATAGGGGCGAACCGTGGGCAATCCTTAAAGAGAAACTCCGGCCAAAACTCAAAATTAAATAAATTACTGGTATCAGTGTAGTGACACAAAATACGACTTCAGCCAAAATATTACGTCCGTAGGACGCCGCATTCTCAACTAATGCCTATAATAAAAATGCGACCCGCCGCAAGGCATTGCTCCTTAGCAGGCGGTCAGCAGGTTGCCGATCGCTAAAGCAACATTGGGCCGTGACGTCAGTATCGTTCCATTTTTTTCCTCCGGTCCGTGCGTTGCGCAGAGTGTGCTTCTTTGAGCCGCTACCACCGCTACTTCGGCTCGTGATTTGTGTGTCTAGCCGTTGCTTTTATCTGTAGCCCGTGTAGCTTCAGTATAGCCTTTGGTTTATTTGCTTGTGAGGACTCCAACACTCTTTTTAGCGAGCAACTCGGTGCGCCCCAGACTGCCCAGCTGTTCCTCGAAAGATGCCGAGTGCAACTTGTAGCGCTGTGGGCTGCTCAAACAACCCGCCGCGCAACATGGAGGTGCATTTTCCCAAGTTTTCAACGCACCAGAAAATGGAGAAGGTGTGGGTGAACGTCGTTCAACGAGTGGACTTTGGACTTCGGCTTTTACGCGCCTGAGGAAAAAAGAACGAAAAAACAGACGCGTGCAGCCCAGCACACGTGTGTTCGGCCGCCGCGGCCCGCGCCGGAGAGCCTCTAAGCTTTGTGTCTGGGACTGACCCGCAGCGCGAAAGTGAGGGCCCCCAGCACTGTACGTCACTGGCGGCGCGGCGTAGAGCAACGCCACTCCATCTACGGAGCCCAGATGGCAATTTAGACCTAGCGACGAGTATGGAAGGCCGCACACACGGCGGCGGCCGCCGAGTACGGCACCGTACGAATTCACGGGTTTTCCAGTCGCTAGCTTTTGGGTATACGCACTAACTCTTGCTACTGTTCGAGGCGGGGTTTGAGCCGCACGTCCGGAAGCCTCCTGGCCCTCGAAGACGTCCATTCCCCGAAGTGAAGAACCCAGGGGTTCAGTGAAAGTGGGAGGCTTGGTAACGTAACTAACAGTTGAATTACATGGTTGCGATACAGCCGTCAAAATTGGAAAGAACATCGGAGCAGCATCTCACTCCGCCTTATATAGGGAGGCGAAGATGCTTTGTCCCCTCCTGTGGATGACCGGGTCGTTTCTGCTGCCAAAACGCAGGTTTGAGAGCTCTCCTTGAAATTGCCAAACCCGGAAGAAGGTCACCGAATATTCCATTCTTAACGCTACATATGTCAGGGGCTCCGGAAGTCAATTCTGTTCAGGGGGGCGGGGGTCAAGGCTCACATCCTTGCAGTGCAGATTCGATTCCCCCCCCCCCCCCCCCCCTTCCCCAACTTTGAAGATCGTACGTGTGGAAAAACCGAAATGGAGGAAGCGACCCTTGTTTAGCCAAAATCTTTTCTGAGTAACAAAAAGAGGTCTTCAAAATCTCTAGCACGCAAGAGCGTTTCCGTGGCCTCTCCTGTCACACTGAACAAAAGTACGAAAATGATTGACGGATGGCAGAAATGCTTTTCGCGTCTAGGCGTCGTGCAGAAACTTCAAGGGGCGCCTCTCTTGCTAGGCCAGCTCTGAACCCTCTCCGGCCATTATGGGATCAGTGAGCTTAATTGGCACGGTATTGGCATGGCCGAGCTTGAAAGAGCCGATCCCAAGCAAAACTCGTCAAAGAGAGTGTGCAGTCCCTCCAAGGACATATGCTCTGGACTGCTGTTCGTCAAAGCGCTCTGCCAGAGACCAATTTACCGCGGCAAGAGGTTTTACGTTTGGGGAGGCTTATCCAAAGCCCGAAGGAGGCCTCCTCCCGGCCATCCTTTCCGATGACAAGGAATGGTAAAAAGGTGCCTTTCCTAAGCTGTCTCCGTCCCGCTGCCAGTGATTAAGATGTGACCAATACGCGCGCCTCAAGGCTGGCTCGGAAGAAACGTTTACTCCAGCACCTAACAGGGGTATCAGCTTTACTACCAATTCTCGTCCCGACAAAACGTCGCTGTCCTTTCTTATTTCGCTTCAAGCTTGGAAGGCACGGTAGCATGTTGCTCTGACTACATTAAGGGAGGGTTGTGGGTCAGCCTTCAGCGTCGGGGGGCAATTCCCCCAACGCTGAAGGCTGACCTGTACGAAAAAAACTTGAGGGGGGCGAACGCCCCCCCTGCCCCCCCGGTTCCGGAGCCCCTGTGCTGGATAACTACCACGTACTATACAGAATTAAAACAAAATCAGCTTACCTCCTATCTTTAGATGGCTAGCAAAACAGAGGTAGGTGCCGCTCGGCCTGCGTACTCGTTGAACGAAAACGATCCTGATGTCACATTCACATAGCGGCTGATTTCCAGTGTTGCCGAAATCTCGAGCGGCTAGTTTCGGTTTTGTTGGCCGTGCCCCAAACAAAACTTTGAGGCGTCAATATCTTTAAAACTATGCACAATAACGAGAAAAAAATTACACCTTGCAATTCAGGAATGCTGAGTGCACTAAAAACAGTCATAATTCCAAAATCGAAAGTATGGACCGGAGTTGCCCTTTAAAGCTGTAGGATTACCATAAACGCTATATGAATCTTTCCTCTTTTAGTTAATGTCACCCACCCCAATATCATAAGCAGAAATCTGATTTTAAGGCGTATCTTTATCCCGCATACCCCATCTGTATGTCCCATTAAGGCCCGTTCACACACTTGCAACTCCTTAGAACCGAGTGCCTTGAAACCTCTTAAAATTTCTTAGGACGAGAGAACACACTGGCCCACGGGCGCCATCTATGCAGTGACCCTGGAACTGCATTTCACAAGAGCAAAGGTTTTGCACAGTTTCCGAGGTCAAATGTGCGTAATACCTATGAGAAAGGCTCGTTTATAATGCTGACAAAAGTTTTTTGAGCCAAGAAAGAAAGTATGATGCGCAAGAGAAAAAGAAAATATGTGGGACTGCCAAGTTTACACTGCTACCCAATAGATGGTGCCAGTGTGTCCTCCCGTCGTAAAAGATTTTAAGAGGTTCCAAGGCACTCGGACTTAAGTCGCAAGTGGCTGAACGGGCCTTTAAAAGGACACTGACAGGGTATTTGTGCTCGCCGAGGTTTTTAGTTGTACATGACATATGACAGCCCAACTACCCAGAACACAATCTGCGGCTCGAGATTCGGTTTCTTTCTGCCCGAGAACCGCCGATCAAGAACTGGCCGGTTCAAGTCTCGCTCACTCTCTTTTCCGTGGTCAAGGGGGGTTTTCTAAGGTTTCGACGCGACCACCAAATTTAATCAAAGTCGTTGCTCACTGAAGGCACACACTCAATCAATCAATCAATTTATTTCCTCTCCATCTGAGAGGGGAAGGCAGGGAAAAAAGCAGCATGTCGCTACTTGACGAAGACCCCGCCTCCCCTTTACATCCGCAGAAGAAACACAACATATGAGTGAAAGAACAATGCAACATATATAAAAACAGATAATCGAGCGCTTACACAGGACAGTGGTGTCAATAATATACAGTGCGAAAGAGTTAAACAAGGTAAACATAATTCAGAGTAGCACACGCTTGCTCCAAGAGTTTAGTAATGAGCACATGCACTACAATGCACATTGACTTTGAAAAATATATACGCAACTGCCTCTGCACCTTCAAAACATGACAACACCTATTCAATAGATCACTCAAATAGGTCACGAATTTCCTTTTTGCTTGTGTTGGCCACGGAAATTCCCTTTGCCTCAAGGTTGTTTAAAATTCTTGGGAGAGTAAAAGCCAGTCTCTGGTCACCATAAGTAGTTCTGGAGCGCGGTGCGGCCCAGTTTCGCGAATGACGAGTGCTGTATGTTGCGTCTCGCGACTCCAAACCTGAGACTGAATTAAAAACGCTAATAGGGTTGTTTAATGATCTTTTATATGACATCAAAAGCTTGTAACTATAGTAATTGGTGATTTCTAACGTGTCAAGCTTTTTAAACAAAGATTTTGTGGAGTGATCATACGCTACATTACATATTATTCGTATTGCCCTCTTTTGCATTATAAAAAGTCTCTGAACGTTCGTTTTCGTAGTGGTACCCCAAACCAGGAAACAATAATCGAAATATGAGCAGAACAGGGCGTGATATAAAAGCAGCATTATCGAGGGGGGTAAGATATTACGGTATTTATATAAAACGCCTACAACCTTCGAGAGCTTTATGGTTGTGTCCTGCACCGTCTCATCCCACAGCATATGTTCATTAAAAGTTACGCCAAGCACCTTAGCATTTTTTACAATTTCCACACCTCGTGAGGCAAAAGAGAGCCCTCCCGGCAGGCTGCTGGTGCAGCTTGTATTTTTTGCGCGGAAAATAATTGCCTTAGTTTTTGCAACATTTATTGTTAATGAATTTGCGGTGGTCCCAACGTTTAGACTCTGCAAGAATTGATTTGCTTTTCTTATAATGACGTCAATGCTAGTTCCAGAGAAAAACAAACTTGTATCATCTGCGTATATTATGTAGCTGACGCTATCATCTAAGTTCACTATGTCATTTATAAAAAGATTGAAGAGAAGGGGCCCGAGAATACTCCCTTGCGGTACACCTGCCCTTATTTGGCGCATGTTTGAACGCTCCCCGTCAATTTCAACGTACTGATAACGGTCTTGCAAATAGCTTTCGATTAGGTTCAGGGCAACACCCCTGATGCCACAAAGGTCCAGTTTCTGCAGTAAAGTTTTATGAGTAAGGCGATCGAATGCCTTCGAAAAATCGATAAATATGCCTAATGTTAGCAGTTTGTTTTCGATGTTTGTAAGTATCATTTCTTTCTGTTTTAGTAGCGCCAACTCTGTCGAGTACCCCTTTCGGAAACCGAATTGACAAGGGGTAATAATTGAATGTTTTTCACAGAAAGCATATAGCCTCATGTGCATAATTTTTTCTAGTCCTTTGGAGAATACCGGCAATACAGACACAGGCCTGTAATTACCCACGTTGTTCTTATCCCCTGCCTTGTGGAGGACGGACACCTTCGCCACTTGCATTCTTTTAGGAAACACCCCATCCTGAAGAGCGAGGTTATAAATGTGGGTCAAACAAGGGGCGATAGAATGAATTACACGCTTTACAGGCCCGATCTGAATGCCATGCACGTCGTTACTTTTACTGTTTCTAAAATTGTTATATACTGATATCAATTCACTGTCGTCAGTAGGCAGAAGAAAAACACTCTCCAATATTACAAATAAAAAAAAATATGAGAACGATTTTTTCTGGCTTCTAAAAAGCTGCAAATACATTGATTGAAAAAAAAAAAAAAAAAAGTTGAACAGAGAACCGGAAGCATTCTGTGCGTGCTTCGCTTCGCGTATCGTGGGACTCGCGGGGACGGCGATGGCAGCTGACAACGGGTGTGGGACCTCTACTTCAGAACTGTCGTTCGCGGTACCGGCGAATTCTGTCTGCCTTGGAAAGAGAAATTCGGGTCTGATCAAAAGAATTGGTATTCATCCCGTACGACACGCCCGACCACCAAGCCGACTTGCACGAAGACGCCGCCGAGCCGTCGCTCCCTTCTCGTGGCTGAAGACATCGCTCGCGCAAACGTCAAGCACGACGTGTCTACTTCGAGTTGAATATGCACGCGTATGATTTCTTTACTAGGTGCGAATGTCGCCAATGCGTGGTGCTTTGACTTCGACCCGGGAGTGCTTTTGCTGGAGGAAAATCAGCAGCAAACTTTCCAACTTGCAGTTTACCGGCTGAATTATTACTAAGGAAAGAGATCCAGCAGTAACGATGTGCCGCAGTAACTCAGTGGGAAAGACGTCCGCTTCACACGCGGCAGGACTGGGTTCGATCCCCAGTGAAACCATACTTTTTTTCTTCTTTTTCAGACATTTTGCGATGTTTACATTACTTTTTTTTTTACGATTATCACTGAAGAAAGAAACAAACAAATAAACAAATGTTGTGCAAGAAACGTCGCTGAACTTTTTTGACACCTGCAAACTCGATGTAATCACTTTCCACAAAATGCAAGGAGCATATAAATCAGGTAGCGTCCGCTTTCCGAGGTGCCCGTATATGTTCTACAGGAATTGCAGCCAGCCATTGGTCCCGATCCCGTTTATCTTTCGGAAACTCTGTCCCACAATGCCACTTTTTTTCGGACGCAGGACATGCGAGCCAGCTCTACACGCAACATCTTGGGTGTGTTCTTTCCGGAGCCAATCACAGAAATTCACCACGGGCACTCACTACTCATCTCCAACTCCTCAATGTACAAAACAACTCATCTTGAAGTACAGAGCAGCAAGCGGAACAAACATAACTGTAAAAAAATCGCACGGCAAACAGTTCCCACTACACCGCCACGCATGTTGTCTGCTACGCAAAGCGGGAAAAAAAAAAAAAAAGAAAAAAAAGAAAAAAAGCGCACGGTTGGGTGTAGTTACACGACTTCCGCCACTCACTCTCTCCTTTCCACTTCTCCGACCTCCGTGCGCAGGTTTCGGTTTCGAGCAGTTGCATTTTTTTGGCTTTAATGAAGATATACGCGACTCTGATGCAAAATATTAATTGGGTAGCCCTCCAACACCATATTAAAGCGCCTGGCAAAAAATTAAAAAAAAAAAATTTTCTGAGGGGTGTCAGTGTCCCTTTAAATGTGCGGGACGAGGTGAACAGGGGTTTCGTCGAGAAAAGTGCAATACACGAATGAATACACTCACTACTTCAATAAAAACAGTACCTCGGACATTCCAACTTGGGCAAAAGTGGATGCAGAGCTGCCAAGCAAGCAGAGTTAATGCTACTTGGGGCTGACTGCAGCCTCAACCTGTAGCTATTATCTGTGCATTTTCTGGGTGGGTATAGAAATACGAACTGTGTTCACAGTTGAATACAAACCTGTACAGTGCTAAGATGGCTGGCTAATGAATTGCACCATATAAGCGCACACATTCCGCACAGGAAACAGCGCTTAGAGAAGAGGTCATCGCAGACCTTTTAGCATCAACGAAGCCCTTGATTATCAGTCAAGCTGAGCAATAAGACTTCTTTTGTTTTATTGATGCTGGCTGTCTCACTAAGATAAATAGACTAAACCATATGCTTTGAGTGAGTAGGGTTGATTGCCTTCCATTTCAGAGCTTCAAGGTTGGTCTGCACACGTTTAGGTTTCTTCATTTACCCTTCTGTCGTTGTAGTCGTCCCATACCCCCCCCGCCGAACCTTGGGAGTCTCTGAAACATCAGTGGTTGAGAAGTCCTGGCTTAGAGACAGCTATGGCTGGAGAGAGCAACTGTGTCAACTGACAAAGAAACCTCCTGTCAGGCTTCCCGACGCAATCTGCGAGAAGCCATCTCTGGCACTGAAGACAGATGTGCTGTCGATCTGAAGTTTTCTAATTAGTCTACAGCTAAAAACCTTCTAAAGACGTCCGACCACTAATACTTTTGTTTGTGCACCAGCCTAAAAATAACCTTTTGTGTGCTAAAGACACATAAATTTTGCATTCAAACCACCTGCAAAAAGAAAAAAAAAATTGTTATTTTAGTGCTTTTTTGTTGAAGTTTGACTAAAATTTATTAAATGCCTTCAAACGCAAAAACTCGACAGTCACACCTTTAAGGTGCTGAAGAAGAAGAAAATAGATGGTGCTGAAGCTCCCATGAAACTTTGGCATTTGTTTCCTTGGCCAAATCAAGTTTGCGGCAAATGTAGGCGAGGTTTCCACCTTACAATGGTCACAACAATTTGCACCACTGCTTATAAGATGCAACTGCTCCTTCTTTTGACACCAAACAGTGCAGGGCTGCTTGCCTTTACTGCAGCCCGCGGAGCTTTCAGTGCAGTGGCAGGCTGCAGTTTCAGTCAACATTTAATGCAAACAGGTGCAAGGAATTGTCAGTCACCAACACAGCCTTCTAAATTAGAGGAAGCCAAGAGTGCTCGGCTGTAATCCATACCTGCACAGGCAGAGGTGGCAGTCTGACTTGGGTCGTGAAACGCAGCATCCAAGACAGTGCTGCGGAGGGTTCCTGCACGTGGATCACGGGGTACGGAAACAAAAATTTAAATATACAAATTTCGTTTGGAAACGAGTCAAGCATGACGGATAATAACCGTAAATGATAATCGCATGTTTGTATTTTGAACGACTGGCTATATTTTTCGTTCCAACGGTGCACTCGAGCCAGTGCGTGAAGAGAAGCGAACGGAGAGCGCGATGCGTCATGGGATATCCGGCGCAAACAAAAACAGAAAGAAAAGATTTCCCGCGTTCGTGGAGTAGCAAGGCTGGCGTGGTTATGAGCTTTGCCCTTGGTGGCGTTGTCAGCGTTGTAGTGGTGTCAATAGCGTCAACGCGTTACAACCGAGCCGTTCGAAGTGCCCGTGCAGTGACCAGCGTGTGGCTGGCCCAAGGAGCACGTAGCTTCCACAACACTGTCAGCTTAGGACTGAACAGGGTGGGGAAAGCAACTTTTGTTCGAGTTTTGAGGGACGGGCTAATCTTCTAGGGGAAGAATGGCTGTGCCCGGTTGCACGAACGAGGGTCCGAGAAGGAGGGGAGTCCTTCCTTTCCGTCTTCTTGGACCGTTTGGTACAATGCGCGACTTGTGAATTGAGAAGGAAAGATAAGAGGGAAAATGTTGAAATGCCAAAGAGCGGCGCTGCTCCGAAGGAATCTGCTACGTCACGACAACGCAGCAGATTCCACAACGTTGCTAGACTACCTCCCAAATAGGCTCTGCATGCATCCACCAGGTGCACATTGAAAGATTGTTTATTTAGCTTTAAAATTAGTTTTCTTGTGCTTTTCAACGGAAGACTCGTGTTTCTGAGGTTAGGGTGCAACATGCAACACATTAAAGCTAAAAAATGAGCGCTGAAATTTCGTTTTCCTACCCCTTTAAGTCTATTTATTTTCAAATACTGCAGCTCCACTAAGGGTATTGCAGGAGTGGGGGTAAAAACTTTTACAAAATGTAAAACAAAATCAAAGAATGTATAAGAATAAGTGACACAAGTGATGAATGAAAAACATTACATTGATGGAAGTGGCATTAGACCTTTCATAGCAGGTTCTGTATATTCAAAACCTTGGTTTGGGGCAGTTACTAATCCTTTTGGAGCAGATGCCAACATCTGTTAGCACATTACTTGAAAATAAAAAAAGTGACTGCATCACTAAATGAGTTCCTCTTTGATGACTGAAGGTTTCTCTTGGATAGTGGAGCGTATTCAGTGATGTGATGGGCCTAAGCCATTTTGGAACATCTTTCGGAGCAGCCAAAACAGTGTTTTGGAGCAGTAATTGGGGCCTTTGGAGCAAGTAAAACTGTGCTTTGGACCAGCAAAAGTGGCTTTTGGAGCAGCCAAGACAGTGTTTCGGAGCAGCGAAAGTGACTTTTATAACAAATATTCTTAGAAAAATAAAAATATTCGTTATAAGTGCTGTACAAACAGGGCACTTTGTGTTGTGTTGTGTTTTGATGTGACGTGTCGTGAAGGAACTCGCTGCTTCTGTTTTTACGGCTGAGACATCCCACAAGTGTACAGTGATGTAGACATTGCCGAGCAATTCCGAAAAATCACTTGCAACCGTTTTACTGGTTTTCGACATGACAGATGTTAGTCAAAAGTAAGCAAACGTAAAACAACGATCTGCAAGCGTCCTGGCTGGTGCTGCTGTCGTGCAATCATGTGTAAAGCCCCTTCATGTCTTGAAAGTAGCAGAAGGTGCGTTGATGCACGAGGCACGTGCAACGTTCAGCCTTTGGAAAGATCATGGCGGCACAGTGCAGATTTGAGCTAGATTTCAGATGTCATGTTCTTCCAAGAAATGGCGCACGGCACGTGTCTCGATCATTTCCACAAGAATGAATGCCGCCACTTTTCTCAGGATAGAGGGGCTTTAATAATGTTCGCATGCGCGTAAGGGCAACTTCAGCAGGCTTGCAGTTGCGCGTGCTTCGTCGTGCGAGCGGAGACAATGGCTGTTCGATCAAAACCGAAACCATGCCACCCCGCTCCGTCATCAACTGATTCCTAAAATTTTATAACAAATGTAACCGTCGAGCGTACGACAAAAACAGTCCGGCGGCACGTGCTTGCCAGGCCGGTAAACAAGCTACAAGCTAAACACACAAAAAAGAACAGAACCTGAGCGCATCGATGCAAGACATCGCGAGCCAGGGTCAAAGAGTTTTTGGAACGCTTTGTGCAACGACTGAACTTGAGACGAACAAGCGTGCTGTGCGGGTTCAGCATGCAGACATTGTCTTCTTTGCTTTAGCTCACTTCTCTTCACCAACTTTCTTTCACGGCAGATTTTTCACGAACCGGGGTCCCTCCCGAAAGAAAGCCCACCGAGAGAAACAGGTAATAAATACTTCGACACAGCAGTCTTAGAGTTAGAAAGGAATTTTCATAGTAACATAAGATTTAAACGAGACCAGGAATGTTGATGAACATGTGGTGGTGCTTAGTTTCATTTTAGAAAGCGCCATATCTGCAGCGACGTGGGGACGGCATCACCCGATGCCGCGCGACCACGGTGACTAAAAGGCAGGGAACAAATACAGTTTTCCCACGACTATTGCTTTCAGGAGTGAGTGCTTCAGTTGACAAAGTAACTCCCGCCACGTAAAAACGTGGTTTCATTTCACAGCATGACGGCACGGCTGGTACCCGGCACGCTATAGCATCGGAGCGTCGACATACACCCGCGTCTATTGACGACGTGCACGATCGAAAGCGTCGCTGTGATCGGCCTGCCACGATTGGCCGAATACTGACGTCACCAAAGGATTTCTATTCGCCGGAAATAAGAGGAATGAAAGAACTTCAATTTTGGTGGTGTTTGCAGCGCTGGTTTTAGAGTGCAATGATTTCAAGCTTCCACCGTGCTCATTGCAAACACCATCAAATTTGCTATTTGCGAGGTAATGACGTCACGAGAAGGAACCACGGAAGGGCGCCACCAAAACATCTTGCCGCTAATCGTTGAAAATACTAAAAAAAAAAAAAACACGCGAGACAAGACAAACGAGACGACGAGTGCACGAAACGTGAGACGACGGGAAAACCATGCAAGACCGGATGGACAATTGATGCAGGGTACTTTGTGACGGGCGACCGCTTGCGCCACATAACACACGCATGCTCAGCTATGGTACTCAGTTTAGTTTCGGTTTTACGAGGCAACCGATATTAGCTTTTTGGCGCAGGCTTGGCGCAGATTACCCATATTTTGGCAAAATGTAGCAGGGTGTAGCAGGGTTAGCCCGTCGACGCAGTTTGGCGCAGCAATCACATCACTGGTATACACCGGTGAAAAGATGCGACTGAACTTGAAATCTACATATTTCAGGCTCTCGCAATGCTGATGGTGCATGCAAGAAAAAGCATCATTTGCTGAGTTAGCAGCATTTAAATATCCCCTGAACCAACACGCGAAAACCACATGACAGGGAGTGAGGAATAGTCAGAAAAAAAAAACGGCAAAGGAAGGGTTAATGAAATTGCATAGCAGGGGTCTGACTCGCCGGGATGCGGCTCACGGACCAACTGGCTACGAGTCCCAGTTTCCGTGTCTTGAGCGCTAGAAATGGCATGCGCCATAGTGATCTAATCTCGCAGATTTATTTTCGCTCGAAAAGTAGCTCTGCTTTTTTAAAGTATTCACATTGTTTATATATATCTGTGTTCATTTGCCCTTTGTTTTGCAATTTTTTTTTTTTCTTAGCCTTCTGTAACGTACAACAATTTCGCTTTTAGGCTGCAAGCACGAGCTCTCGATCAGCAGGAAAAACTGCCAAAGATAAAGCTACATGAGCTTGGGATTCTCGTCTTCAAAAAAATATAGCCATCAAAAGACAAATAGCAATTGTTCGGAGTGTTTTTTATTTATTTATTTATTTATTTAGACATACTGCAGGTCTTGAACAGGCCCCTGCAGGTGTGGGGTACATACAAACAACAAAACTATACATATGAGAAACAAGAAACACAGGGCAACCATATATATATATTGCTTATACAACGACATATATACATATGAACACCATCAGCATAATAAACATTCCATAATCAACGCCCAACATACAATAAAAAAATGCATGTACAAACACCAGGAAAGGAGAACAATCAAAAGCTGTGACTCTCAAAAGCACCATTGAAGTCACGAGAGTTACCCTCATGAGGGTCAAGAGAGTTGCCCTCACAAGGGGTACTAGGGTTACCCTCACGAGGGTCACTATGGTTACCCAGGTCACGTGACCCCTCCCGGGTTCACGTGACCCGCGGATACCCCCCGAGGTCACGTGACCCCCCCGTTGACGTCATCGCCACTGATGACGTCACCAGCATCCGGATCGTCATCGGCATCATCACTGATGACGTCATCAGCGACGTCACTGATAACGTCACCGGCATCCGCATCGTCATCATCACTGATGACGTCATCTGTGAAGTCACTGATGACGTCACCGGCATCCGCATCATCATCATCATCATCATCATCACTGATGACGTCATCGGTATCCGCATCGTGATCGTCACTGATGACGTCATCGGCATCGTCACGTGACCCCCCCGACGTCACGTGACCCCCCCGACGTCACGTGACACCCCCGACGTCACGTGACACCCCAAGGTCACGTGACACCCCAAGGTCACGTGACACCCCAAGGTCACGTGACACCCCAAGGTCACGTGACACCCCAAGGTCACGTGATTCCCACAAGGCCACGTGACCCCCCCCCCCAAGGTCACTTGACCCACCCACCCAGTACCCTTCTCTCCTCCTCCTCAAGAGCTGCGCTCTAATTCGGCGTTACAGGGAGTTGTAAACGGCTTTCTTTTCTTTTTTTTTTATCCAAGGCTTCCTATGTCCCGTGCATTTACGCCGATCCGGTATGAAGCTTTCTAAGCAATAGTTACACATATATACACTAACTTCTCCCACAACAAAGTCACATTATCTTCAATAAGGTCGCTGAAACAAAACTCAGGGTAATCCAATACACTTTCATCGTTGGACCTTGAAAAATCCTTCACAGTTAAAGCAACCCTTTTCCTTTGCGAGTGGCAGTCCAGATGACAGCAAAAAAGCACTAATTTGTGATCAGACTCACTCTCCTCGAGATTTACGGTATAATCAAGAAAAGCGCGACTGACAAAGTTAAGGTCCAAAATTGAGCGACTGGAATTACTTTCCCGTGCAAAATCTTGAACGACTTGGGTTAGATCCCATGCAATCACCATGTCGAACACGATGTCATCACTGGGAGAGCTAGATAATTGCAGCCAGTCAATATGGGGGAGATTAAAATCGTCAAACAGAATAATTTGCTCGCCTCTGTATTTTAACAGGTCATCGTAGAGCCGATTTAAGTGGTCTGGACTAGCGGAAGGGGATTTATATACGGTGGAAAGTATAATCTTATGGCCCCAAACATTAAGACGAAGTATTAGACTTTCGTGATCACTAATTTGACCTAATACTATAGCAGAAATAGACGGCTTTATTGCAACCGCTACACCGCCGCCACGAGAGGGACGGTCCCTGCGAAACACTTGATAACACTTGATGGGATTCCGGAAAAATTTCAGCATCAGACACAGAGTCATTAAGCCACGTTCCAGTGATCACAGTGACATGGGGGTCATAGTTGAGAAGAACGAGTTCAAACCACTCAGCTTTATTAACTATACTTCGCGCATTCATGTTCAGGAGACAAAATTGCTTAGAAACAGGTAATGGTTCTCGTCATTCATCAACAGGAGCTTCATTGGCAATGGCCACCTTTACTCGTACGTTTGAAGTTTCACCCCAAGCAAAGAGGTCATTGCCAATTCGTAGTTTGTCGTTTACGAGAAATACTTTCAGTTTATTCGTTTTCTCGACGCTCGCACTATTCCATAGCAGTCTTCTTTTGTTGAGCGTTTCCTGAGAATAATCGTTTTGGATGTAAACGTTGGTACCTTTAAGTTTTTGTGCATTACGCAGGATTTCTGCCTTTTCTTTGTAGTCTTGGAGACACAGAATAATCGGCCGTTTTCCCACGAGTTTTCCTAGGCGATGAATTCTTTGAACGGAGGTGCAGGAGACTCCTAGTCGCCTTGAAAAAATATTTTCGACAACCTTGCCTCTCAAGTCCTGCTCGGACTCATCTGGTGCGTCTGCTACTCCACAAATAAGATTTGAACGTCGACTCCGGTCCCCTAAATTAGCAAGCTTCGCATTTAGTAGTGTTATTGTCTCCTCCAGCTTGTTAACGGTCTTTTTAAGTGCATCCACCTCCAGTGACTTAACTTTTAACTTAAGCAATACCTTGTCTACTTCTGCAATTCTTGACACCACTTCAGTAACTGATTTATCAGTGCCGGATTGTAGGATCTTCAGGTCAGCTATTTCCTTGTGAATTATTGCTGGCCCGTTCATCAACGACTCAAACATTTCTTCAACCGTTGGCCCTGGATTTGTCTTGACGTCGCCACATAGCAGCAGTTTGCATACATCAAACAGTCAACAGCAATTTCACAAAGCGTTTGTGGGCGCAGCACAACTATAAGACACAGATCATCACTCCTAAAGCATGATGGATAACTGACCTGTACGAAAAACCACGACATGGTCAGCCACATGTTCTTGTTGGCCTCGCCGCACCCACTGAAGTTGTAGTTCTGTTATAAAAATCACCAGGAAAGCAAGAACTGACAAATTGACCAATTGTTTTTTGCAGACGTGTTGAGCTTAAGCAATTCCTGAGTGAATTGAGCAACGGGAATGATGGTGTACTTGCTCTCTTGTTCCATTAAAAATGCCAGCACGTTGGTGGGGCGGTGTCATTTTAATTCTTGTTATCACATTAGGTCAGGGCCCAAAAGTAGCCATATAAACAAATCAAATTTAAAGATGTCACTGGCAAAACTGCGAGTTTAGGAAAACCAAAAAGCATGAGTTCTCTCCTCACTGAAATGCTTAAAATGTGTCTAGCAAAAGCAAAAAAAATAAAAAATAAATAATAATACAGTAATTTTTTTTACCGCATTTTATGGGCAAAGTGTCGCAGACTTTTAGGACAATCTCATAACTTTGATCGTCTTTCCAGTGATGCGAAATGTCTCTGGAAAGAAGATTGCTTAAGTTATAATATGAAGCTTATAATTGTGATAAATCAGAATGTGATAAAAAAAATGACTGGCCGTATTCAGACTTGGAGAGTTCTTTGAACAAGATAAGCAAATGGCTTATAAGTTATAAGATACCATCCAGATGCTTTTGTTTTCATGCTCGAGTTTATAATGTAAAACAAATGTGCGGACTGCAGAAGGGATACAGTTCCAAACTCTGCGGATGCAGACCGAGTGATCAAACTTATCCGTGCAGGGCCCTAAACATAATACACAACTGTCTTTTTAGAAATAGGTTCCGTTCATAAAATAGATTAAGAAGAAAAAGAATGGTTGAAAAACAAATTGTAGCAACATAAAGATAAGATAAAGTGTCTCTCCCACTCCACCTTTTACTCTCCCAGTGAATTAGCCTGTCAATATCATTTATGTAAAGTTCCATAAAAAAAACTAGCATATCCACTAAGACATCCATCAATGAAAATATGTTCCACCAAGACTTACGAAGCTACAAAACTCAAATATCTAATATCATATAGTGCAACCCCCCATTCTTACATTAGCAAAATGTATGAGTTGAAATCGAAAAATGACGCTCCTAATCACGCAAGCGTAAGCAGCGTTGGAGCAAGAGCCGAGTTGGAGCTTTTTCGATCGAATGCTGTGCGAAAGGAACTTAGGTCCGCGTTTTTTTTTTTCGTCTTCCTCTCTCGGTAACACTCTTTAAAATTAAAGGTTGACCTACAATCAAGAACAAAAAAGGTTGACCTGTAGTGGTACTGCGCATAATTTCCAAACCCATTGCACTATACCCGTTTTCACCTCAAGAACCGCAGTAAAACAAGTCCGGCTCCTCGCGAAGCATTACTAATTTACCTCTTCATGGGAATAATTAAGATATATGTAGGTGAATTTTAGATTAGATATATGTTATCTTATCAAGACGCACATGTTCCCAATGTCAAAAGCACCGCCTTTTCCTCCGACAAGCAAATCTCGTAAGAACTACTTCGCGCAGCGTATGATCAATGCACAAAACTTACTTTTTTCTTGAGGTGAAAACGGGTATAGACATTTGGTATTCCCATGCATAAGCTACTTTTCCTAACACACCGATGCGATGCAATGAAGCTTGATGCACACGCACCAGTGCGAGGTGGTGAAGGACGACGCGAGCGGCGATAGTGCCACTTCGTGAAAGCGTGTTACCGAGATGAAAATGAAGTGATCTCGTCAGGAGTACGAGACCTTCGTACTGTCTCGTCACACCAGCTGCCATACAACCACAATTTTTTCACGCGACTTTTTGCTCCGCGACATCGCCGACATGATCCGAACTTCAGACAATGACGTGGCCAGAGCGGTAGGCGAGCGAATGTTAGCAACGGCGAGTAGACACTCCGTGAAATATATGTTTTTAACATTTTACTTCGCTTCTACTTCTTTCAATATAAGTGCCCACAGATATTAAATTAATTTTTACTTCGCTTAAGCTCGCCCTGGCACAGGTGTGGTGCAATTTTGAGCAAACGGGGCATTTTGAAGCGACATGCAGCAGACTTGCGTTCATGGCACAATTTGGTGCAGCACTTTCAACACATTAAATTAAAAAAAAACTGAAAGCCTCGTAAAAAAGAGACCTTACATACAACCTTGATTCAGTGTTATATATTCCCTTATATATTTTTGGTTTGGTTTTACATAACAATGTCCTGCAACTCTTCACCCCTTCTGCAAGGACCGCATGGGCCCTCAAGGTTTAATAAATGATAATAATGATGAAGTACTGAAATCCCAGAGCTTGGAGCAACTCCTTGTTGCTTGGCAATGGCGGCATACGTCGGACTGGCACTAAAACCGCAAGGGGAAACCCCCTCTTCTTTTCCTCCAGTTGCAGATATAGTACTGCAACCATGTTTCAAGTAAGCCCATTCACATAGTTGCATTTGGGTATGGGTAATTACTTTGCTACGACCCTGAGTTACTGGTACATCCATGCTTTATACGTCGTGTGCCAAGCTACTTTTTCAATTGGTTTCACGTTGCCAGCGACTCATGGTCGTAATGCGACGCAACTGTCCTCACAATGCAGTTAAATGTAGTCAAATGCTACTATGTGAATGATCCTTAAGATTGAGTGAATTAACCATCGCTTCTGGAAACGAAAGTTAAAAGTGGTCAGTCTTTGGTATTACCTGCCGTAGCTTCGGGGATGTCCAGCGTCTCTGCAGGCGGGCTCATCGCGGTAGTGAGACCAGCTTCACTGTAAACATAATGGGTTTTCTTCACAATACTCTCTTTAATTGGATGATTATAATATATGCACCTAAGAAGGAAATCGTTTAACATTTTTCACTTTTCAAATCTCGAGCAATATTATGCGTTGCAAACACAATAAGAAATAAAAGGTGATTTGCCGGACACTGTTTTTCGAGAGGAAAAACAATACCAAATTTTAACCCCCAACTTATGTGAGCCTGACAAAAAGCCTGACCCCAGCTCAAGAGATATACACAACAGAGATACAGCCAGATGATACATACACCATGCGTGACAGGCTAGAGCAGAAACACTGGGCTCATTCTATTTACCTGCGCTAGCCTGCACCGATGCAGGAAAGTGGGGGCACTGCACTTACGGTTGTGTTTTGACATGGGCTGCACTCGTAAATCGAATGGGGTGGTGCGCGTTGAGTGCAGCTGGTGCGGAGGTGCTACTAAATTGAACGAGCCCACTATAGATGGTAATTGAAAAGCAGCATACTTAAAGGGGCCATGAAACATTTTTCAACTTCTTCCTTCTTAGCTTTCCTCCTCAACTCACAAATGGCACAGCATGACCCAACAGATCAAAAAGAGAGAAAGCAGAAACTCCACTCTTGCTCGGACTTCATTTGTGTACCCAGACGTCACCATTTTCCCCCTAAAAGATTAGCCCGTCGCTCAAAATTTGGACAAAGGCTGCTTCCCCCCCCCCCCCTCCCTTCCCCCTCCCACCGGTGGCTATTGCAGGACTGCGAACAACTATCCTCTATTCAGCCCTAAGCTGACAGTGCTGTGGAGGCTACATATTCGTTGGGCCAGTCAGACTTCTGTCTTTTGCCACATGGTCACACTCCCTCACACATAGGTACACAAGTGCAGAGGATGGGGTCAGGTGATGAAACGAAGGCGGCCGATTGGTCCAGCAAGCGTGCAGCTCCCACCGCACTGCGAGCTTAGGGGGGAACGGAGTAGTATAGTGACGCAGAGCTCGTGTCCAACCCGTGAGCTGGAACTGGCCGACGCGCTTTGTCCCGCAGATGTATTCCAGTGAAAAGGCTAAGAGCTTTAGAAGGAAAGGAGGTATGAAATAGTCTGCACAATGTTTTTCTAATTTTCTTACTAAAAAGCACACTTTTGACTTTCTACCTTCTTTCTTCTTGGCACACTAAACGATATGCTGTTAGTAAAATCACAACCTAATTTCAGTTATCCCAGCCCAAAATTCATTTCATGGACCCTTTAAAGTGCAGTGTTCATAGTGCATGATCAGAATAAGCCCCCACTCATCTTTTGAGGAGAACTATGATCATAGTAGTGTGACATGTTGTGCAAGCGTTGTAGAAGCTCAGCGTAAGCTTATGCTCAGTAGCAACAGACTCAACTAAGGCTGCCAGTGAATACTAGCTATACTTAAGGCAAGAGGGTGGTTGCAGCGATCTTGTGGAGACATTGCATAGGCCAAATGCCCGCGATTCCTGAATGGATACCATACACTTCGTGAGGGGTATGTATAATGCAATAACAGGTGAACACTCGTCCTGCCTTAACTGGAGGATCTGTTGCTGAAACCTATTCACAGGTTTGGACAAGCAATCACCAGGAATATAATAAAAGACATCTTCAACCAATCCCTAAACACGAAGAGGCCCAAAGTTTCGAAACAGACAAGGTTTCTTTCTTGGTGGGCAACGGTTAGCAGTGAGGAATAGGCAGCAGTTTCTGCTGCTGCTGAGAGGATAAAATAAGTATGCTGACCTCACATTCTTAATCAGGGTGTCTACCAAATTGTCTTCTTTAAATTCCCTGACTTTTCCAGGTTTTCCCTGACTATTTTAATTAAATTCCCTGACCCACAACTACCGACACCAAAACACAATATATGATAGATAGACACTATTCACATTGTAAAAAATTTTCTTTAAATTAGATAAAGCAAACTTTAGAAGATGTTTAGAACACAGCATTGGCCCGGGTTTACTGTTTCAGGGAGTTTGGTCCCAGCACCTGATCAGTACATCAATTTGTTCTTCGAGTTACTTTGTTGAGTGACTCATCAAAAGCAACCACCAGATATGGCACGTTAGGAGGCCTGCTAGTAACTTGTCTTGAAAGTAGGGGGCGATACCACGACATATTGTATATCCCACTTTGTCTTTTCCAAGCTGAATTTTTCTGGCGGTCTCACACATGGGGAACATTAACGGAAACAGCGAGGCAGACGCTGCCGCTGAACGGAAAGACCCACGAGTTGTTATAGTATTCAAGCACCACATGATCCCCGGCCTTTGTGACTTCCTTTTTCAATAAAAAGCCACCACCCACGTCTTCACAGAGGGGCTAAGAGCCTCCGTGGCGGTGGTTAGACGCATTGCCGGAGCCCTACAAGCACTATTGTTACCACCGGACAAAAAACACCCATTGCTGTCGCGGAAGGCAAGTTCGCATTTGTCGCAGTTTTGAAAAATACGACTGGGCTCTGGGAAACGCTTTGCAGATATTTCATAGCAGTTTGATGTTTCTTACCCTCAAGATGAGTAGCAATCGCCCTATTCCCTATGTTGCTCAGGGAGAACTACTTGCAACACATTGCGCAGTGAGCACTATTTGGATCATTTGGAATGGTCTGAATCCAACTTGCATTCGTGCATATGTCCGGGTTTGTCCAGTTGAGATTGAAGGAGCACTTTCTCGACAGCGACATAGTCACTTTCACATACCTCCACTTTTGGAAAATAACACAATAGAAAGCGCAACCCACAGCAACAAACGCACGTGGCAGAGCTCATAGAGTACAGGCGTCCAGGTTGCGTTTACGGGGAAGCGCAAAAGCACCATATCTGACAAACGAATGGATCGCTAGGCGCGCGCCTCTCAGAGGGTAGATGAATGAACGACGGCTGTTCTTTTTCGAGTGGGTGCCCAGGTGAAAATATGAAGTGGGATTTCAAGTGGTCCCACTTGATTTAAAGTGGTTCCACTTGATGTCCAGTTGTGACCACTTGGATGCAAGTGGTCCTTGAAGTGGTCCCACTTGATGCCCAGTTGTGGCCACTTGGATGCAAGTGGTCCCACTTGATGTCCAGTTGTGACCACTTAGATGCAAGTGGTCCTTGCACTGGTCCCACTTGAGGTCCAGTTGTGACCACTTGGATACAAGTGGTTCTTGAAGTGGTCCCACTTGGTAGACACATTGGTCATCTCTTGTACACTTCGAGCTACTCTAGTCATGAAAGGTTAACACTGCTCAAAAAGTTCCACCTCTTGCACGAGATTTCTGAACTTCACGACAAGCATGCAGGTGCACCTCCCCACCTTACGTCCGGTGAAGGAAACTAGCACATGCTGGAGGTGGGCATTCTGGCAGTCTTTAAAAGGAGCCCTGAAATTGTTTCCTGACTGCTTCCAAGTTTATGCTAAGCCCAACCTCAGTGAATTTGGCAACACAGAAAAGTCTGGAATTCATATTTTTTGGGGAGTTATAGCTACTAACAACAAGAAAGGCTCTCGGCATGACGCAAGAGGTTTGTTTGGTATTGCCAATGGAAGGAGCGAAAAGACTCCTATCATCAGATCAGCACCGGAGAACATGGCACACTGCACTTGACGGATTCTCCCCACTACTAATTCTGCCTTTACGACAGTGATTAACCGAAGGCAAACTTCGCAAATCTTTGCGATTTACCAGACTTGCAAAATAGTACACCTTCTCAGTTTGTCAAGTAAACCTTTGTAATGACTCAAAAAATGACAACAAATGAATGGTTTCAAAGTTCAGAATATATATTTACTTCAAGTTGGCGAGATAGTAAAACTTCTGTTTGTCAACTAAACAGATGATTCCGAAAATGACAACAAACACATTGCTCGTTTGTTGAATGGTATATCTTTGTTTCACTTCTGCCAGGAGAATTTTCAGCATAATTACTACCATATATACAATTTAAGGTTAACAAGAGGAACAATGTAACAATGAGGGGGCATCTCATATAGAACAAAATAAACCAACCATATCTACAAAAAAAAGAATGCAGACAAAGTAAAAAAATAGCAACTTACAAAGATCTTTCATAAAAGATTGGAATTTGGAGGTAGTTGTTGGTGATACAAATATTTGTGAGTTGGAGAATGCTCTTTGTACAACTAGATATTTTGTTTAAAACGTGATTGTGTAGCATATGAAGCTGAGTGTGCAGGACTGCCAAATTATTCCTAATATATCTCTGTTCAATCTATTTATTTTGGCACATTAAGCACTGTAGGAGGCAGTTGATTACATTTGTGCTGCTCCTGATCGTGTTGAAATCACGTTACTCTTCGCACTTACTTTAAAAAACCCAGACTTTTTAGGTTTTTCGTGACCATTTCGATAAAATTTTCTGACTGTTTCTTTGCTTGGTGGATCACATGTCTGGCAATATTCAGCACGGCCATGCCGACGCACGACTGCTGCATCTCTTTCTGCACTGCCGTGCCACTTGCACTGGTCATTTTCCCTGATTTAGCCAACGAAATCCGGTAATTCTTTGACTTTACCAGGTGGTCTGAAATTCCCTAATTACAAGTTTTTAGGTTGGTGGACACAGTTTCACGCGCAAGTTGAAAATGCGGGCAGACGTTGCTTACTACAGTTGAAGTTTACTTTCCATGAAACAAATAAAGAAGGGATGTTCAATGGTACCTCTCTATGTGAAATCACCTGTTACCCCGCCATAACAGGGTCAGGGTGTCTACCAACCTGGAAAAGCCGAGATTGTCAGGGAACATTGGATCATCAAGAAAAGCCAGGGAAATATCGGGGAAACCCCCAAAGAGCTAGCTAATGGGAGGAAAACTACCAGTGAAAGTGGCGTGGCGGTGTGCAATGAAACCAGATTGTCATGTATCGGCATGGCAGTGCCAAGTAGCGTTGCCTGAAATGCCACTGCCTGATTAAATGGAAAGAGCCACAAGCACAAGAAGGTTAGCGGCTATTGGTTTGTCATGCCAATAGGCTGGTCAAACATCTTCTTTGATCAAAGAAATGGTCAGGACATTTTATCAAAATAGTCAAGGATAACCTGAAAAAGTCGGGATCGGAAAGAGGTAATTTGGGAGACAACCTGAAGGTTGTTTAAAATGAACCATAGCGGTTGCACAATTCTGCAAAAATCTCTGTGTCATCGATCTGCAGGTACATGCATGGGCGAACGGCTTGGGACAGTGGATGCAAGCTCTTCTGAGCAGTCTTGTGTGCAACTTTTAGGTGATCGACCTCTCCCATTGCTTCGACCTGGTACACATGGGAGATATTGAAAAGCTCCAAGCTCCCACCAAACTTGCAAACACGCACTATATTCGCCACCTTCGCATAGACGTCTCCTAGCTTTATACCAGTGGAGTCCCGTTTTGATAGAGGCTTGTACTGTTCACTGTGGATGGTGCATCCACCCACAGACACACGATGGTACTCCTCGATTTTGTCCACTCCTGTCAGGTGCTCCAGTACAAAGTCTGTCACGTCTTGAGAGGCTGGTTGAGGTTTCCCAAGTAGCCTGATCTCTGTTTCCCTGTCAGGCATTTTTTGGGAGCACTGCTTCATCACCTCTTCGGAGGCCATGGATCGCAACTGATGATAGTTGTTCCTCAAAAGAATGCGGGATAGGATTTGGAACGGAATTCCATTCGAAGAGGACACCAGCTTGAGCAGGTGCCCCATGTTGTTCTCAAACTCGAAGCACGATAGTGACCAGAGTGGGCCGTGCAGCAATACACTTTTTGGCAAGTGCAGCAACGTGTGAACGTTGGATGTCATCTGTGCTTCTCCATAATGATATTGCATCAGCACGACAAACTTTGTGATCTTGGTAGTGCTTGTATCGACGTCTTCCAGCGTGACATGGTTCTGCAGCAAGAGGTAAAGTCCAGAAACAAGGAGCGCAAAATGCTCGAGAAGCTCCTCTGGAAGGATATCCTTCAGGCACGGCAGGCAGTAATAAAGCAGCCATGCCTCCCATTCTGACACCTTCCAATACTTCCTTAGCTTAATCGACCGTGGTGGACGATTGAAGCACAGGTGCGGCCTCTGACCTTGGAGTCGCTGGTCCACCACAGCCAAAGTCCTAGGGGCCCCTATGTAATGGTCCTCGCCGACGTTCGAGAACCAGATTTCGGTGACCTGACGCACAACACCAAGGAGGACACAGTGCATATAATCGGGCCGAAAACTCCAAACTATGTCGAATCCCGGAACATTGATGAGAGGCGATGGCCCCTTAACCCCGTTGACGGCGTGGCTTGTCGCTGCTGCACTTGTCATATCAGACAACATAGAAGCCTCTGTCCTGTCATCAACAGCTACTGTCACCGGGTACTTCATGCTGCCTGCACAGTGAAACATGAACATTAGTGCTTTGCCTAGCAACTGAGAATGATCCTTCAAAGAATAAACTTATTTGACTGTACCTTCGACGAAAACTCCAGGGTGTAAGCACCAAGCACAGCCATAGTACCCGTTGAACTGCACCAAGTTCTGCATAGAGGTCCTCGCTGGAGCGTCTGCGACACTGGTTATGCAGTAGACCTAAAAAAGTAAGAGACACCAAAGAATATAGCTCGGTGAATTTTATAGTTCCATGGAAATTGCTTTCTAATAACTTCATAACAATGTAATACATTTTATAAGTGCTATTAGAAACTAATTTAAAAAAGAAGTAGCTGAACTGGTGAGGTAGGTACTAAGGTCTTCTTTGCATTTTTCCTCCAATTCTGTTAAAGATGTATTGATGTAGTTCCATATCAGATGTCTATTGTATTGAAGAAGTTAGGACTTCATTTTTTTTCAACCAGAGGCTATACAAAAGGAATAAAAAGTAACTCCTGGCATAAATGCATAGCCGCAAGCCTTCGGGCGAAGGCTACTCAAAATGTAATGCAAAGAAATAAAATATAAGATAAGACTGTGTCAAGAGCATATATATAGAAACATACCTTTGAATGTATATTTTGGCCACCTGCATTCCAGGATATTCCATCCCTGGAGAGCTCCCTCATCTGGTCGGCGAACGCTTAAGGGAGCAGCGTCATATTTGGGTGCTTCGTACCGTACCACAGGAGAGAACAAATGACGTTGCGCCAGCGCAGGTGTGGTGGCAGCTCGTTCAGGGTGAAGTGCACGGGCCAGATGGAGTAGTTTGACGACTTAAACATCGGACTCCCGTCTGCACTCATGGTCAGCGTCAGGTCCTGTTTTCTGCAGTTGAGCTTCTCTCGCTGTTGATTGTAGAAAGAGCCGTCGGTGATGTCCGATACACCAGTGTTTTCTGGTGCCTTTGTGCGGCTCAATGACTCCAAGAGCTGCTCTCTCACAGTAGTGTCCGCAAGGAGAGAGGTGAATTGCTTATCCAGCGGCAAGCTAACAAAAAAGTTCCCGTTTGCCATTACTGGCGACCAACGTAATGCTTTCCGCATGTCGAACACGTGCTCGATATGTTGTTGCGCTCTGGTAGCTTTCCTCCAGTTTTCGTCAGCAGTTGATCACAAGTAGGGCAGTAGAAGTGGAACTGCATCTCTTCCGGTGAAGCTCCAGAAAACTTCCTGAACAAGTATTTGCTCTCTGGAAGAACATTCTTTCCCAACAGAATATTTCCAAACTTTAGGAGGTCCTCTATGGCCGTCCATTCCAAGTCATGCTTTATCGCTATGTCTATGATGAGGACAAGGACGTCTCCTACAGACATGGAGCTTCCATCTCGAAGAGGGGTCACAAACTCCAGCAAGAACGGGGAGCTGGCAGAACTGGTGCCTGGATGAGTATCGGTTGAAGAGTGATGTTCGTCTTCATCGTAGGGCTCCGAACCGCTGTCTTCAGCAGCCGAGTGATCTCCTGGATCATCGTCTATAACTACGGGCGACGGACCACTCCCTTCAGATCTCGAGTGGTTGTTTGGTTCATCTCCGCAGCTGCTGTCCGATGCTCCACGAGTAGTCGAAGCAGTCGCAGGGTTTGGGCACCCCGAATTATGGCGTGGACAGGGAACACTTGGAGACACGAGCACCCTTTTTCTTATTTCATGTTCTGTTGATCTTGGTAACGGTTCATCCCATGCGTCGGGCTCAAGATATCGCTTACGAGTTCTGAATTTGCTCAGGCTCATCGTCGTACGTTCACAGCATGTTCCAGTCGAGAAACAACACAAAACGATCACGGTCCAGTCCACAGAAGCCTAGATCGGCCCGGTTAGCCACAGGCAGTCACTCTTGCCCAGCAGCCCCAACTAAACTGAAAAACAGCGTTAATTTTCCGAAGTTTAACCAAATCACGTTCGCCGTGAACCAAATGTGGCTTTGTTGGCTTTGTCTAGCTAGTTGTCCAGTTCTTTGGATTGGGATTGGATTTCGTTGGCTATTGCCTCTGTAACTGGTTAAGGGGGAAACTTGCGTTTACTTCGTTTACACATGCTTTATAATTGCCAAACATTTCAAGTAAAAATCTCTGTTGTCTTTGATCTAGTTGTAATAGTACGTTTCTTTAAATGTAGATTATGTGGTCATAATTTTTCAAGCCTAATCATCGGTCCGATTCCAATCCGATCCACAGCCACCACAGCGTCGGCATTCCGGATGCAGATTCCAGAACATTTTTGTGGTGGAGATTAGTTAATCGCGAATTCCTATTACATCATCGAAACGATGTTCGCGCTAGTTCGTTTTTTTAAAAGAATTTGATCAGAAGGGGTACGTGGTTCCGGTGCGGTGCATTAAGGACTTTCATCTGGTGAACGAAAATGACTTCGATAAGAACGGAGTATACACGACGTTCTGGGAGGACAATGAAAACTCCGAGAACACTGGATCGTATCCTTCGCAAGTGCTGCTTCTGGCAAGTAAGTAATTGGAGACTTAATTATTACAAATAAATAATACATAAAATTAGGAGGGCGTGATCGTATTCATAAAATACGCGCGGACGCGCGACTTCAAGGGAAACGTGTCTGCGTGGTGGTCGCGGTCATTCAATTTGATTAGGCAGCCACTGATGGGAAATATCAAATATGTCAGTCACATGTACACTGCTCGCAACGACTAGCATGCGCACATAATCCGTATTTTCTCACTAGACGAGTTAAGAGCCCCTTTCGAAATCCGCGTGCTGTTCGTCAGAAGGTTTGAGTCCACTGCACGTGGAAAGACGAGCACCGCAAACTGTGCAAGAGCAAAACTACATTAAACGGTGATTAAGTGTTTTAGTAGTATTTATATGGCTCAAGTTTTGGTGGTTTTGATGACAGCCTTTTATTTCAGTTGCCAGTGTACACACAATCGTTATGCGAGGAATTCACTGTCCAACACTAGGTAAATGCGTAATTTTGCGTCACACTCGCTTCGTCGCGTGGTAATAGTGTGACTCTTACCCCAAAATAGCAGGGAGAGAAAGAACAAGCAAAATGCGTCAATCATTTTTGCTGGCAACAGCACCGATAGACGACTAGATGACAACTTATTCATACTCGCGCAGTATATAGAGATAACAATTACTAATCAAAAGACATTACGGGTAGCATTGGATATCAAAGTTCTTACATTCATATATCTCAAAATTGCGACCTAATGAGTGCCAAACTCTGTTGTATAAATATTTGATGTACTATTTTAAGTAATTTTTTTTTGTTGTAACACAGATTCCGAAGAAGAACTGCAAGCGAAGAGGGCATCCAGAAGGGTGCGCAAGGCCGTAATCCACCCTTCAGATCTTGAAACTGGAGAAGGAAGTGAGCATGAGGCACCTGCTTCTCAGAAGCAAACATCCAAACAGGTATGTAGCACTCATTTGTACTTAGTGCAACTTCATAGTCTTTCAGGACTGTCGTAACTTTTTACAGGAGAAGAAAAAGCAGAAAGTGCACCAGTTGGCATCTAAGAGCTCTGCCTATCAGAGCATCCTTCAAGAGCATCTGGAAAACTCTAGGAAAAAAAATGAAGCCGCCTGTGCCGTCCGGGTATGTGGTCCATAAATATGCATTTAACACAAGATTTTGATACTTTGTGTGCACAATGGTCTAAATTTTTTTACTGCCCAGGTCTCTACAAAACGACGTCGTCCTGCAACTGAATCGGACAGCGACAGTGATGACTATGTCGTTTCTGCGTCAGAGCTGAAGCGTGCCAGAAGCGAGGCGAGGTACTGGCGCCACCGCTGTGAGGAAGCCATCAAAGAGAAGGCCCAACTCACCAACATCATAGAATCTATGAATGGGACTATCGCTAGCAAGCTGACAGCCAGTAAGTATGTCTTCATTCAGCTGTTTGCATAGAAGCCTGTGGTTCTATTCAGTGTATTTTTGGAGACTGCATGCCCGTGTTGTTTCATACATACAGAGAATACTTAATCTCTTTTTGATGGCTTACTTTTTTGACGTTGGCATCCTATGCATTTGATGAGCTGTCACATTTCTGAACTAATCTCTCCTTAAAGGGCAACTCCGCTTCATTTTTGGTTTTGAAAAAACAATGCAGTCCTCTTCAGTATCGCCTAGGAAGACCACACATGAAATCTTACGACGCAGTTCTGTCTAAATGTTTCTTAAACGGTCCGGCAAACTTTGCAACTCGCCAAGTTGCCGAAATCGGCTGACTTGAGCGGGCGAATTCAGGCGCAACCAACAGCGCAGTCAAGGCTACGGCATGGGCGGAGCCAACATTGAGCTAAACGCCATCTACATGGCCCCCTTTTGCTTGTTTTCACTTCTCCGGGCGAGCGTAGCGCATGACGTCAGCAACGTTGCCTCTCGGCACTCAGCAGTGTCTACGTGATTGGCGTAACGCGCCTGCGCAGCGCGTTTCTTGGGAGCCGTCCGGCCGCCCGCCGTGGTCCCGCCGTTACCGCCGTCTTCCGCGTCACAACCGCCGTCGTCGTCTCACCGATCGTGATTGTCTCTCGGAGTTTCGTCCACACTACGGACACCACGTGCGCGCACACTTATGCCGCAGTTGTGCAGACGTCGAATGCCGTAGGCACCAAAACGTGGCGAAGAGTGCGGTGCAGACGACACTCGCGCCTGCCACACGCCCGCCCCAATCCCGCCCGTCGTTGGGCCGAGGATCACGTGACATCTCGTATCACGTGATGGCCATGTACTTGGCGACCCTAGGCCAATGTTGCCGGGCGGAGCCGAAGTTTCGGTTTCGATTTCCGCTCGTGTTTAAAATCAGATTTAAAATATATATCCCATTTTTCGCGGAGCAAACGATGTAGTGTGTTTTACTAGGGCTTGTTAATTCGAAATCAATCATTATCCCCAAATCTTCGGAATTGCGGAATTGAGCGGAGTTGCCCTTTAAATATATAGGTGCAATTTTCAATG